AGGAGAGCATGAATATGGATTATTTCCAGCCCCAATCCATGTTGGTGAGTATAAACAGTATATTGTCAGAAAAAATGGGTTATTTCTTGAGTTTGGGTGAAATGTTTCGGCATTCTTGCTATTATTTATATCTATTGGGGTGAAGCTCTTTTTATTTTATTTTATTTTTTTACTATTTAATTTATACTTAACTCTAAAAAATTCTGCAAACTCTTTACTGTCTAGGAGTCAAAATTACATAAATCTTACTCACTGGAGTTTCAGTAAACAACACTATACCTGTAGCATTTGATTCCCTAAATATGTCATCTTGAAAAACCCAATTATTTATCAGTCCACTTTCATATCTCAAAAGGAGTGAGATTATTTATGGATATATAATAAAGGAAATAGGCCCCATGCTTTTCTTAATCTTTATCTGCTTGAAAATTAGGCAAGATTTTTTTTTTTTTTTTTTAAGAGGATATGTCAAGGCTTTGTTTAGCCTCTGGGTAATAGTACCTCCTGGGTTCCTACTATAAAGCATACCAAATAAGTAAAAAGTACCTAGAAGTCATCCTAAATTCTTCCCATTTTTTCAACACCTTATCCAGTCCATCTCCAAGTTTTTTTATTTCCATTCTTAAAATATATCCTCCTTTCCAAGTTCCATTGCCATCATTCAAGCCCATGCCACTATGCCATAGCCTTCTAATAGATCTCTCCGCTTCCATTGTTTCCTTCCAGTTTTCCAATCCACTCTCCACACAATAAAAAGAGAAATGATTTCATAACTTGAACAGATTTTTCTTAAAACCTTTCAGTGGCTTACCATTGGAGAAATTGATGCACTGCTTATTCTGACTTTTAAGAATGATATGGCCCCTGGCTACCCCATTATTCCCATATATCTATTCCTATATTTCCCTTATTCACTATATTAGGCCATGCTGGTCTTCTTTCAAATCCTAGAATATACCAAGCTCTTTCCCTCAAGAAGATTGCTATACTTATTATTCCCATTGCCTGGAAATCCCTTCAAACTCTTCTCATGTTTGTTTTCCTCTCATTCTTTAAGGATTAGCTGACAATATCAGCTTATATATAATTTTCTTTAAAATTGCATTCATGGCCCTAGTCAATGTGGCTCAGTTGGGTGTCATCTGATACACTAAAAGGCTTCGAGTTCAATTCCCTATCAGGGCACATGTCCTGGTTTCAGGCTCTATTTCCAGTAGGGGCTTGGAGGAGGCAGCCCATCAATATCTTTATTGAAAATATTACATGTCCTAACTGGTTTGGCTCAGTGAATAGAGCGTCAGCCTACAGACTTAAGGGTCCCAGTTCGATTCCAGTCAAGGCCATGTACCTTGGTTGCAGCACATCCCCAGCAGGGGGCATGCAGGAGGCAGCTGATTGATGTTTCCCTCATTGATGTTTCTAACTCTCTATCCCTCTCCCTTCTCTGTAAAAAATCAATAAAATATATTTTTTTAAAAGGAAGAAAATAGCCGAAACCGGTTTGGCTCAGTGGTAGAGCATTGGTCTGTGGACTAAGGGGTCCCAGGTTCGATTCCGGTCAAGGGCATATACATTGGTTGCGGACGCATCCCCGGTGGAGGGTATGCAAGAGGCAGCTGATCGATGATTCTCTCTCATTGATGTTTCTAACTCTCTATCCCTCTCTCCTCCTCTCTGTAAAAAATCAATAAAATATATTTTTTTAAAAAGGAAGAAAATAATACATATGTCTTCTTTTTTTTCCCCCCATTGACTCTCTATCGCCCACCCCCACTTTTGCCAGTCTCCGCCCCAGACCTTCACCACACTATTGTCTTTGTCCATGGGTTATCCTATATAATGAAAGCCTAATATGCAAATCGACTGAACTGTGGAGCAACCAGTCACTATGACACGCACTGACCACCAGGCGGCAGGCGTTCAATGCAGGAGCTGTGTGCAGGCCCCAATAGGGTGCGGGGGTACCAGGCCAACCAAGGCGCTTGCTACCAGAGATCATCCGATCCGATCGCCTCTCCAGGTGCCCCACAGATTGGCCATGATCACCAGCCAGGCCTAGGGACCCTACCCGTGCATGAATTTCGTGCACCCGACCTCTATTGCATATATATGCATACAAACTCTTGATCTCAAATATGTGTTCTTTCTCCCTTCCTCTCTGTCCAAAAATCAATTTTTTAAAGTCTTTAAAATAACAAATAAAAAATACAATAAAATTGTTCTCATGATTCTTCCTTTATTCTATATCACAGAACCTTGTTTTTCTTTTATAATCTATTAGAGGCCTGGTGCATGAATTCGTGCACCAGTGGGATCCCTCGGCCTGGCCTGTGGGATCAGGCTAAAACCAATTTTCCAATATTCCCCGAGGGGTCCCAGATTGTGAGAGAGTGCAGGCCAGGGAGAGACATAGGAGACTGCCTGTCTCAGTCCTTATGGGCCAGATTGTTAGACCTGTCTCAGTCCTGATGGGCCATACCCCAGCAGCAAGCTAACCTACTGATCAGAGCATCTGTCCCGTGGTGGTCAGTGCACATCATAGCGTCTGGTCAGCCAGTTGACTGTCCCCTAGTGGTCAGTATATGTCATAGTGAGTGGTTGAGCAGCCTTAGCATATCATTAACATATTATAATTTGTTGAACAGCTGACCAGATGACTGGATACTTAGCATATTAGGTTTTTATTAGGTCTAGTAATAATTAATGTCGTTTTCTAATACTTTTTAAAATCGAATTTATTTAAACAATACAACAAAATTTATTTTTTTTAAAATATATTTTATTGATTTTGTACAGAGAGGAAGGGAAAGAGATAGAAAGCTAGAAACATCGATGAGAGAGAGTCATTGATCAGCTGCCTCTTGCACACCCCCCCACTGGGGATATGCCCGCAACCAAGGTACATGCCCTTGACCGGAATCGAACCCGGGTCCCTTCAGTCCCCAAGCCGACGCTCTATCCATTGAGCCAAACCGGTCTCGGCTACAACAAAATTTAATCAACAATATAGTTGCTGTTGTTTTCTACTACTTGTGCCCAACGCTCAGGAAGCATTTTAATCCCTCTGTTGTAAAATTCTTGTGATTTTGATGCAAAAAATTCGGTCAATGCATTTTTGAGGCATTCTTCATTATTAAATTTTTTCCAAGAAGAAAGTTTTGCAAAGAACGAAACAAATGGTAATCGGAAGGGGCAATATCAGGAGAATATGCAGGTTGAGGGAGAACTTCCCATTCCAACTGGCGCAGTTTTTCAGCAGTGATTCTTGCAGTGTGCGGTCGTGCGTTATCGTGGTGAAGAATTACGCCCTTCCGATTAATCAACGCGGGTTCTTTTTCTCTTAAAACTTGGGCTAACCTTTCCAATTGGGCACTATACACTGCACTTGTAATGGTTTGGTTAGATGGTAAAAGTTCATAATGAAGAATTCCTTTAAAATTCCACCAAACACACAACATCACTTTTTTCGCATGCAAGTCAGGTTTTGGCGTGGGCTGCGGAGCCTCATTTTTGTCCAACCATTGAGGCCGCCTTTTCAAATTAACATACAGCACCCATTTTTCATCTCCGGTAACAATTTGCTCTAAAAACGGCAAACAGTTTTGACGAGAGAGGAGCGAACTGCAAATTGTGACTCTTTGATTACGGTTGTTGTCTGTCAACTCATGAGGAACCCATTTTCCAAACTTTTGGACTTTGCCAAGTGCACGCAATTGATTGGAAATTGTTTTTTGTGAACAATTTAAAGTTGTCGAAAGCTCTTGTTGGGTAATTTGAGGATTTTGCACCAAAAGAGCTTGAAGAGCTTCTTGATCAAAATTGGACACACGGCCTCGACCACTCTTGTCATCTAACGAAAAATTTCCCTCGCGAAATTTCTCAAACCAACGCTGGCATTTTCTGGCGCTAACTGCATCTTGACCAAGAGCACTACAGATGTTTCTTGCAGCCTCACTTGCTTTTCTTCCTAATTGGAACTCGTAAAGCATGCAGTGCCGAATATGCTCTTCATCCGCCATCTTCTTAGCCCTAGTTTTGCAACAAAAACCAAACCAAACACAAACTTTTTCAAGCAAAACTTGTTAATTGTAATTCACACGTTCTGTAGATACCACGTGTTTGAAGGTTATGTCAATACAAGTCAAGGCCAAGCAAGATTTTAAACGAATATTAAAAACGGCATTAATTATTACTAGACCCATTATTATATAGGATAATTACTATACTTGTTTATTAATTTTTATCTGACTCCCCTATCCTATATAATAAAAGCATAATATGCAAATTGTCCCCTAGATGGATAGTTTGACCAGGGGGCGAGGCCAGCCAGGGGAAGGGAGGGGCCAGCCATTAGGGAACCTACCTGTGCATGAATTTTGTGCACTAGGCCTCTAGTTATGTTATTAACTCCAGGAGTGTAGGATCATTTGTCTTTCTTATTCTCCTTTGATTTCCCAGTGCTTAATTTTTTGTTGTATAAATGAAAGAAGAAAAAGAGAAATTAGGATAAATTGCTGATTGTAGATGACAGTTTTTTCTCAGGAACAACTTATTTTGTAGCAGATGTTGATCCTATGCACTATAATGTTCTCTTAAACTATGACTCTCTTGACCCTTTTGATTAGGGACTCTTCTCTGATTTATGCTTATTGAATCTCCTTTTTCTCCCTAAAGGGCCTAACATCATAAGGTATTTAAAGTAGCAGGTTTAGACAAGTTTTGCAATAAAGATGCGTTATTGTGCATTGAGTGACTGGAGAATGGTGTAACTATTCTCCAGTTACTCAATGTGGTGTAACTCTACAACATAGAGTTACAAGGCTTAATTCTTAGCTCAGTAACTATGCTAGTACTTAATGAAGGTAAGAGTTCAGCTCCATGTTCTCTAGGCATAATGCCAGAGTTCTCTTAAAAGAACCTTTTGTTTTTATTAGTGAAGCGTAGCAATGGAAGCAGCTTCTTAGCAGATTGTGCTGTTTCCTAGAACCTGCTAGTGATAAATAGCTTTGAAAATAAGAAGTAATTTACAAGTCCCGTGTAAAGGAAAAAACAGCCATTTTGGTCTTACTGGTTTTATCCTGTTTGGGAAATTAACTTAGATCTTGGATGAAACTTTTAACTAAGCAAGGGAATGAAGGAAACAGTTAATTCCAAGGGAAAAAGGGGGGAATGAATGATGGGTAGACTAATATTTCTTGTCATGTCTCTGGCATGAATTAGTGGTTAACAAGTCTAGAATGGAAATTCCTTTATTTAAATAAAGATTTTATCTCTGCATCTCCACTTTAGTTCTAATAAAACTAATTTGTACTCAGTAAATAAAAAATAGAAAAATTTATCCAAGTAGTGGCTCTTTTCTCTGGTGAATCAGGACTTTATCTTTTCTTTAAATCCTCCTCCTAGGATATGTTTTTATTGATGAGAGAGAGAGAGAAAGGACCATCGATGTGAGAGCCTTCTGTATGCACCCCTTCCGGGAATTGAACATGCTACTTTTTTGTGTATGGACTATACACTCCAACCAACTGAGCCCCCCAGCCAAGGCTGAAACAGGCTGTTGCACAATATATATTTTTTGTGGATGTGCTATTTTGTTTTTCAAATAATCATTTATGATAGGAATAGAGGCCCAGTGCACAGTGTTCCTCAACCCAGCCTGCACCTCCTCTAATCTTGGACCCCTCAGGTGATGTCCAACTGCTGGTTTAGGTCTGGCAGCCAGATATCCCTCTCTCAATCCGGGACTGCTGGCTCCCACCTGCTCGCCTGCCTGCCAGCCTGCTCACTCCTAACCACTTCCCTGTCAGCCTGATAAAGGCCTAACTGCTTCCCTGCCAGCCTGATCGACAACTAACTGCTGCCCTGCCGGCCAGATTAGCCCCAACTGCCCTTCCCTGCTATCCCGATCGCCCCCCAACTGCCCTCCCATGCTGGCCCAGTAACCCCCAATTGCTCTCCCTTGCAGGCCTGGTTGCCCATAACTGCCCTCCCTGGCCAGCCCAGTCACTCTTAACTGCCCTCCCACACAGGCCTGATCCCCTCCAACTGCCCTCTTCTGCAGGCCTGATAGCCCACAACTACTTTCCCCTGCTGGCCATCTTGTGCAATAGCATGAGGGCCAACTTGGATATTACATCTTTATTATATAGGAGAGAGGGTGGATACTCAGCTGTTTTAAACTGGTCACTTCCAATATCGTGTAAACAAAGAGCATGACAGAGAGGAAGGGAGAGGAATAGAGGGTTAGAAATATCGATGAGAGAGAAACATCGATCAGCTGCCTCCTGCACACCCCCCACTGGGGATATGCCTGTAACAAAGGTACATGCCCTTGACTGGAATTGAACCTGGGACCTTTCAATCCACAGGCCAACGCTCTATCCACTGAGCCAAACCGGTTTTGGTTATAAAGCACTTTTAATCAAAACTGGGGTATTGGTATTCATATATGGAACAGCATACATAGCCCAGAAATAGAACCACTTTTCTGTTTTTATTTGATTTGTACACAGGTACAAGCCCTTGACTAGAGTCAAACCCACAACCCTTCAGTCCATGGGCCAAAGCTCCAGCCACTGAGCCAAACTGGCCAGGACCCTGCATTTTGTTTATTCATTCATTCGTCAATGGACATTTGTTTCCACCTTTTTACAATTCTGAATAATGCTGCTATGAACATTAGTTTACTATTCTGAGAACTCTGCTTTCAGGTTTTTTGTTGTTGTTAATCCTTATCTGAGACTATTTTTCCATAGATTTTTAGAGAGAAGGGAAAAAATAGGGGAGTGAAAGAACATTTTACTGAACTATCAACTACTTTATTAATATAGAAAGATCTTGCAAAACATCTTAATTGAAAAACAGCAATGTATTCTTGTCACACTTAAAAATATTTAAATTTATTTTAACTATTAACTTAAACATTATATATATTTTTAATTTTAAATAGTTGTTATTCTTTGATTTTTCTCTACTCAATATAGGAAATTGATTTTATACAAGTGAATGATAGATATGATTTTTAAATTTTCTCTGTATATAGGTTTGTTATGTTTTTGAGAAATTGCTTTCAAACCATAAACATGTATTATATAAATCTTTAACATCTGTTTTCTCAATTGACCAATAAAATATTGAGCCAAAGCCAGTTTGGCTCAGTGGATAAAGCGTTGGTCTACGGACTGAAAGGTCCCAGGTTCGATTCCAGTCAAGGACATGTACCTTGGTTGCGGGCACATCCCCAGTAGGGGGTGTGCAGGAGGCAGCTGGTCGATCATTCTCTCTCATCGATGTTTCTAGCTTTCTATCTCTTTCCCTCTCTGTGAGAAATCAATAATATATATTAAAATAAATAAATAAATAAATAAATAAATAAATAAATAAATAAATAAATAAATAAATAAAATATTGAACAATATTCCTTCAAAAAAATGCAGAAGGGTGATATAAAGTAAGGAAATTGAAGAAGCCTCTTTAAGTTAGAAAGGGGGCTTTGAAATTGACTTTAAATAGTAATATTTTAATATTTAAGAAGTTAATTATGAAAATCCATTTAAACACTATTGAGTTTCAGGGAATCCTATTATTAAAAACTCTTATACTTTCCCCCCTTTTTATTGATTTCAGAGAGAAAAATAGGAACATCATTGATGAGAATCATTGATCTGCTGCCTCCTCACGCCCCCTACTGGGGATTGAGCCCAAAACTTGGGCATGTGTCCTTAACTGGAATCGAACCTGGGACCTTTCAGTCCGCATGCTGACGCTCTATCCACAGAGCCAACTCAGCTAGGGCTATTCTTTCCCTTCTTATAATCATCTTTATATTGTGCTTAATAATGAAGGAGAATAGATGTCAGGTGCTCTAAGTAGTAATTTTTTTTTTAATCAATCTTTTATTGTTCATATTATTACAAAGGTTCCTCATTTCTTCCCCCCTCCACCAGGTTCCCACCCCACCCTCGGCCTCCTCCCCACCCCCCATTGTCCTCATCCATAGGTGCACAGTTTATGTTCAGTCTCCTCTAGGTAGTAATTTTAATAAACAATTCTTGCCCAGCTGGTGTGGCTCAGTGGTTGAATGTCAACCCATGAACCAGAAGATCACTGGTTCAATCTCTGGTTAGGGAATATGCTGGGATTGAGGGCTTGATTCTTGGGTTTGGGAGGGGCGTGCAGGAGGTAGCTGATGATGTTTTATTCTCATCAGTGTTTCTATCTCTCTATTCCCATCCTCTCTCTAAAAATCAATAAAAAGTTTAAAAAATAATAATAATAATAAATTCTTAGTGTTTTGTTTGCTTCATAATGTCCTGTATTTTTGGTAGTAACTTTGCTAGTTGTTTTATATAGATGATTAAAATGTGTCTTTAGTGACTTATGCTAGTTGTTTGGTAGTAACTTATGTTAGTGTTTTATATAAATGATTAAAATGTGTCTTTAGTATGAAAAAAATAAGTAAAAATTAAAGATTAGTGATGGAAAAAATCCATAAAGCTAAAAATTAGATTTTTATTTTTCTAGTTAGTGCATATTAGATCTTGTGTATGAATAGATGTTTAAATCAAGTTTTTTGTTATTGTTGTTTTTGTTTCAGGAAAGTACCTAAGGCAAAAAAGAATTGACTTCCAGCTTCCTTATGACATCCTTTGGCAGTGGAAACATAATCAGGTACAATGAAGCTATCTTTCCAGGTTTCATCCTTAAGGCATGGCAGAGAGGGAATGCAGATCTTTTTGTCTGCCTCCTTGTTATGCTCTCATTTTAGGAAATATAAAGTGTTCCTGTGAAGGTTAGAGACTAAAAAAAAAAAAAAAAGATTTTGCATTCATATTTAATGTGACCTATTTGCCTTTACTCATAATTCAAAATAGCAGTGAGTTTCTACTTTCCTCAGCAATCTCCCGTTATTATTCTGGACTTTTATTTTGGTAGCATAGATTCTGTTCTGTAAGAATCCTGTTTGATGCAGGTCTCCAGAGAATGTAGATGTACTGAGCAGCATGAAGAAATTTCAGGCTTTATTTTTGTTGGCTCCTTCCCATCAGTTTGAAATTTTTTTCACATACAAAGGAAACAGGGAAAATGTTTAACACTCCTATGCTTTTAAAAGATCTTTAAATATATTGGGAACTAAAAATAGAAAGATACTATTTTTCTCTCTTGCTTCCCTAATTAAAATATTTTTCCCAATAAATTTTTTTTTTTTGGAGAGAGAGAAACATCAATTTGTTGTCCCTCTTATTTATTCATTGGTTGATACTTTTATGTGCCCTGATCAGGGATTGAATCCACAGCCTTGGCCTATCAGGAAGTGCTCTTACCAGATAAGAAACCTGGCCAGGACAGTCCCCAATAATTTTTGTATTAAGCTATAGGCCCCGAACCCCATACTGAGAACAACCATATATATATATAGATATATATATATATGGTTGTGTATATATATATAAAAAGCCAGCAACCAGAACAACTGGTAGCTATGATGCCCACTGCAGCCAGCCTGCAAACCCCTGGTGGCCCCTCACCCAGGTCGGCCCCATCCCCCAGCGGGGACCCGCCCACCCTATCAGGGCAGGTCAGCTGGTCCCCACCCATGCACCAGGCCTCTATCCTGTAATAAAAGGGTAATGTGCAAATTGACCCTAATGGCAGAACGACCGCTGGACCAGTCACTGAGGCGCACTGACCGCCTCTGGCTGGCAGGCTCCTTCACCTGATGGCCACCCATGGTGGGGGCGGGGCCAAGGAGCAGGCAGGAACAGCCAACCTCTCAGTCCCTTCCCCTGGCCATCAGGCATTGATCATCCGATGATAAATGGGAAACCAGTGGTAGGTGGTGGCGGGAGGGCAGAGCCAGCTGCAGACAGCTAGGGAAAATGACCCTGATCACAGGCCAGGCCTACTGACCATACCCATGCACAAATTTCATGTGCTGAGCCTCTAGTTTGGAGAAAAAAACAACAACAAAAAGTCACGCAAGCGAGGTGAATAAGCTCTTGAGTTTTGCCAAAATTCTACCAAAGTTTAATTTTTTTATTTTATATATATATATATATATATATATATATATATATATATATATATATTATTGATTTTTTACAGAGAGAAAGGGAGAGGGATAGAGAGCTAGAACCGTCAATGAGAAACATCAACCAGCTGCCTCCTGCACGCCCCCTACCGGGGATGTGCCCGCAACCAATGTACGTGCCCTTGCCCAGAATCAAACCTGGGACCTTTCAGTCCGCAGACCGACGTTCTACCACTGAGCCAAACCGGCTTCGGCCAAAGTTTAATTTTGGAAAGCCCAAAGGCAATGTGTTTTCTCCACATACTCTTCTCTGGTGGCCTTTCTTGAATTCTGAGAGAATATGTTAGGTATTTGTCTCAAAGAGTTTATAACATGGAAGGAGATAACAGTGCTCTGACTATACCCACTGAAAAATGACGGCAGCCTTAACCCACGGTGCTGTTTTTTATGTTGTCCTCTATGGTGAAACAATGACCAGCTGCCTGCCTCCATTCTAATACATTGCTGTTGTTTCTTTTTCTAATGCGTTCTTTTTTTTTTTTTTTTAATATGTTTTTGATTTTTAGAGAGGAAGAGAAAGAAATATCAATAATTAGAATCATCAATCGACTGCCTCCTTCATGCCCTCTACTGGGGATTGAGGGCATGTGCCCTGACCAGGAGTTGAACCAGTGATCTGTTGGTTCATGCATGGATTTATGCTCAACTACTGAGCCACAGTGGTCAGACTTTTTTTTTTTAAGCAGAGGAAGTGAGAGGGATAGAGATAGAAATATCAATGAGAAACCATTGATTGGCTGTCTCTTGCACAACCCCTACTGGAGATCAAACCTGCAACCCAGGCATGTGCCCTGACTGGGAATTTATCCAGTGACCTGTTTGTTCATGAGTTGATGTTCAACTAGAGCCACACCAGCTGGGCTGATGCATTCTTAATTACAGTGTGAGAGCTCCGTTTTCCTACTTGCCCAATCTTCTTTATTCACTAAATTAATTGCCTTAATTAAAATGTGAAATGTGTTTTGCAACAATACCCACCCTGAAAAAGCCAGGCTACTCATTTCTTAAAATTTCATATACATATCCAGTTCATATAAGCAATCCCTATGCAAGTTTTCCTCTTTTTTTATAGGGGCAAATAGAATTTTAATTTATCCAAATGAATAGCTTTGATTTATAGTTTGCGATTTTCATTTAAGTTAACCCCAATGCTAAAGAAACATATTAGTTCTCTAGCCAGTTTGACTCAGTGGATAGAGCATCCTCCTGCGGACTGCGGGGTCCCAGGTTCAATTATAGTCCAGGGCACATGCCCAGGTTGCAGGCTTGATCCCCAGTGTGGGGCGTGCAGGAGGCAGCCAATCAGTGATTCTCTCATCATTGATGTTTCTATCTCTCTGTCCCTCTCCCTTTCTCTTTGAAATCAATAAAAATACTTGGAAAAAGAAGAAGAAATATATAGGTCAGCCCTGGGCAGTGTAACTCAATGATTAGCATTTTGGCCCATGCACTGAAGGGTCTCAGATTTGATTCCCAGTGAAGGGCATATACCTGGGTTTCTGGTTTGTTCCCCATCCCTGGTTGGGGCCCATGGGAGAGGCACCAATCACTATGTCTCTTTTTTTATTTTATTTTTTATTTTTTATTGATTTCAGAGAGGAAAGAAGAGAGAGAGAGAAACATCAACAATGAGAGAGAATCATTGATCAGCTGCCTCCTGCATGCTCCCACTGGGAATTATGCCCACAACCCGGGCATGTGCCCTCCTTGCTCATAGGTCAATGCTCAACCACTGAGCCACACTGGCCGGGCTCTATGTGTCTCACATTGATGTTTCTTTCTCTCGCCCTCTTCCTCCCTTCTACTCTCTCTTAAAAAATCAGTGGAAAAAATATCCTTGAGTGAGAATTAATAAAGAAAAAAACATTGTTCAAAATGAAGTTTCTTTAAACCATTTTATATGTATATTTCTTCTATTGAACCTAGATCTCTCACACTGATCTAGTAAGTCACCGTTTTATTTTTTTTTATTTTTTTTTTATTTTTACATATTTTATTGATTTTTTTTTTTTGCCCCCCTCCTTCCCTCCCACATATTCCCTCCCTCCCCAGAGTTTTATGTCCATTGGTTGTACTTATATGCATGTATACAAGTCCTTGGGTTGATTTATTATCTCCCCCAGACCCTCCTCCCCTCCCCACTGTAATGTCACCTTTTAATTTGGGGTAAAAAGTGATCACATCAAGAGTTTCCTTAAATGTATCCAGCCCAGAAAGTCTTGTAGCTATTTCCATATAGGCAGAGCACATAGATAACTTCCTATATTTTTAGTGATTAATGCTGCTGTCTGGCATTTGAAGTTAAATGCTATATTAAGATTTTTCTTTTTTCTTCTAGCTATACAAAAAGCCAGATGTCCCACTATATAAAAAAATTCGTTCAAGTGAGTAATTTGCGAACTATTTTTTCTGTCTCTATATCATCAGTGTTCCTCTTGGTCTGACACTTTAAAAATTATCCTGTATGTACACAAACTGTTCTTTACTTTCTTCTTTCAAGATGTCTACGTTGATGTCAAACCCCTTTCTGGTTATGAGGCTACCACCTGTAACTGTAAGAAGCCAGATGATGACACCAGGAAGGGCTGTGTGGATGACTGCCTCAATAGGTACTCTACCAAACAGGTTCCTTTAAAAACATAGGCTTTAAGATCTAGACGATACTTCAGTTGAAGGGAAAAGTTAAACATGCTCTTGATTTTGCTTCAAAAAATTGCACATCGGTATATAAAACATAATTAATGAAATGTTTTAGTCAGCTGGGGCTATTATACCAAAATACTATAGATTGGGTAGCTTAAACAACAGAACTTTACTCCTCACAGTTTAGGAGGCTGAGAAGTAGATGGTCAAGATGCCAGTAGATTGGATGTCTGGTGAGGATCCACTTCCTGGCTTACAGACAGCTGCCTTCTCCTTGCATACTTACATGGCCTTTCCTCACTGCATGCTCATAGACAGTGCCTTTTTAACAGGGGCACTAGTCCCATCATGAAGTCCCCGCCTTCATCACCTAATACAAACCTGTTTTCCTCTCAAAGGCACTACCTCTAAATATCATCACCTGGGGGCTAGGTCTTCAACTATGAATTTTGGGAGCATATAAACATTTAGCTCAAATGTGGGATGAATACAGTAACAGAAAAAAAATGATATTTAGAGTCTTACATGCCCAGGTTTAAATCTTGTTATTTATTAGACCTGAAGAACATTATTTAACCCCTCTAATAAAAATAATACCTTTTATGATGAGTTTGTGAGAATTGTATGAATCAATGTTTATAAAGTTTTTTTTTTAATATATTTTATTGATTTCGTACAGAGAGGAAAGGAGAGAGAGAGAGTTAGAAACATCGATGAGAGAGAGTCATCGATCAGCTGCCTCTTGCACACCCCCTACAGGGGATTTGCCCGCAACCAAGGTACATACCCTTGACCGGAATTGAACCTGGGACCCTTCAGTCCCCAAGCCGACGCTCTATCCATTGAGCCAAACCGGTCTCGGCCAATGTTTATAAAGTTTTAAGCACAGTTCTGGAAACCTTCCTAGATCTCTATATATGGTAGCTATAATGAGGGAGTAAAGTTTATGGTGGCAGTGAGAAATAAGAAAGGCATGGTATATTTGATGGGGAGAGAGGGTTAGTAAACCATTAGTATATAGCAGTTACACATGAGAATTGAGTCAATGATAGCAACAAGAAATAGTAACACTATTGTCAGAGATAGAAAGTATGGAATTGGACTTGTTTGGAGATACAATGAAAATTATTATTTTCATTTTGAACCATTGATTTTAAAATGACAATGAGATTTCAAAATGGAAATGTCTAATAGAGGCAAAAGGGTGAAAATATATTTGTTGGTTTTAGTAACATAAGCAAATTTATAGCATAACAAAGAACCATTGAAATTCATATCAATACTTCCTGTTCTATATCATTTTCCTGGGCAAAGGCACCTGCCCAGGAACTGGTCTCTAGTCTGTTGTTCTCACGGCTGGGGGAATCAGCATGCCAGCTGTGAAATTGTACCTCACACACATCATTGTAAACTTCAAAATCTTCAAATCTTAACATGCAGCATCTACTTTCAGATTTTGGTAAATTTACACTTTTGTTTTCAGGCACAATGTATAGAAACATGTTTTACTTTTTATATAATTAAAGGGTTTATCTTGGTTATTTATAAAAACAAAGGGAATATATTTCAGTGCCTTCAACTCTAGAAAACACAGATTTTTACCAACCTCTGAATGATTGTTCTTTGGCAGAAATTTTTTAAATTGAAGTCTCTTTCCTCTCAACACTATGTTATATTTATATTTTAGTTATTTTGTCCATCTGAACTATATTGTGTGTGTTATGAAATATGGAAATAAAGGTGTATAGTATTACGAATGGAGTTATAATTGAAACCACAAAAATAAATGAGCCCTCTAAAGAAAAGATGAACAAAGAATAAGAGAAGTGGGAAATCCATTATCATAAAGTATAAACAAAACCCACAAAAAGGACATTTTCAGGAGAGGTGTTCAATAATATTCTTACAGAAAAGAAGTCAGCAAAAGAAAGAATAAAGGTGATGAATTTGACAGTAAAGCAGTGTTTTTTCACAAGTTAAGTTGATTGTCTTAAGTTGAAGAATAATTCAATGGATACTTTCTCTGCTTACTGCTCATTTATGTGATTTGACACTGTATTAATTGCCCTTTAGATTAAGGATAATATTTTTTGGAAGAATAAATGAAATGACTCTGAAAATACTTTAAATTGTAAAGTATTAAATACTTTCTGTACAAGATTTATAAGTTATGATTATAAACATATTTTGATTTACAATATATTCTTGGTCCTCCCTTGTTCATGCTAAATAGCCATTCTGGGATTCCAAACAATAAAACAACTAAAAGGCTTCTATTAAAGATCCTAGAAATTTAAAAAGGAAAGCAGTGTTCACCTACTGGGTTCAAAATTTTTTACTTGTTTATTCACTCCAAATTATAGGTTAGCTAATTATATAGACTGCTAATGTTATTTCCAATATGGAAATGTCATTTACAGTAATGAAATGTGGATTCCTATTTTTTTTTAAAACAATGTGAGCCCTAACCGGTTTGGCTCAGTGAATAGAGCGTTAGCCTGCGGACTTAAGGGTCCCAGATTCGATTCCAGTCAAGGGCATGTACCTTGGTTATAGGGGATGTGCAGGAGGCAGCTGATTGATGTTTCTCTCTCATTTATGTTTCTAACTCTTTTCCTTTCCCTTCCTCTCTGTAAAAAATCAATAAAAAATATTTTTTTTTTAAATGTGAATATACTGATGTTTATTATTAGTAGTACACTTAAAAGTGATTATGATGGTAAATTTTGTATGTATTTTAATACAGTTTTTAAAATATCTATAAATGGCCATGAGCTACTTCAAAACAAGTATGCATTATAATAATGAAACTAGTAATTTCTCTGTGGGTTGCAGTTAGTTCATTTAATCTTAGCACAGAGCTAAATAAGAACTTTTACCCAGGATGCTAAGTGGACAATTAGCTTAATAATTTACAAGGAGCATTTGGTGTTTACAACTTGATTTGAAAATTTAAAGTGTTATTACTTTTTAAGTTCTAGATTATTACTTATTAACCTTGTTAGCCAATCTAACCTTGTTAAAATAATTTGGTGTATTCATTTTAAGAATTCATATAAAACATAAAATGGGTTTATATAGGCATATAAAGTTAATTGAATATAATTATTACTTTTCTTTCTAGAATGATCTTTGCTGAGTGTTCCCCCAACACTTGCCCCTGTGGTGAGCAGTGCTGTAACCAGAGGATACAGAGGCATGAGTGGGTGCAGTGTCTAGAACGATTTCGAGCTGAGGAAAAAGGTTGGGGAATCAGAACCAAAGAACCCCTAAAAGCTGGGCAGTTCATCATTGAATACCTAGGAGAGGTTGTCAGTGAACAGGAATTCAGGTAATTATGATAGTAAAATGGTAAAGGTATCCGATTAGAATGGAAAATGGAAGATTTGAAGTTTACTTTCAATATAATCATTAAGTGGCTTTCAATAATCTTTCTCCTTTTCAGAAACAGGATGATTGAGCAGTATCATAATCACAGTGACCACTATTGTCTGAACCTGGATAGCGGAATGGTGATTGACAGTTACCGCATGGGAAATGAGGCTCGATTCATCAACCACAGCTGTGACCCAAACTGTGAAATGCAGAAATGGTAAGGAAGAGGGGATGGGGAAACCAAGAATCCCACGGAACAGAAGGCATTGAGGATTTCCAGAGATTGATCGTTCACAGTGTCAGTCAGCTTACACAAAGCAGCTTAGGCATTTCCCAGATCCTTCAGGCAAAGACTACGCCTCTGCTGTTTCTTCACTTCACTCTTAACTATTCAGTCGGCCTATGCTCCGAGGAGCCTGGTGTTTGATTCCCAGTGAAGGCCATGTATGAGTTGCAGATTCAATATCTGGCCCCAGTTGGTAGAAAATGTCATAAATATAAGACATCTAGTATTTATTTACTGCTTGTTTCATCTTACATACTGTTACATGGTTTGTCTCATAACAGCTCATTCATCATTTGCCCACTGAATTTGTCACCATGAGATATAAAAACAAGTGAATCTCTACCTTTAACTTTTGTCCTTTCTTTATAGGTCTGTTAATGGAGTATACCGGATTGGACTATATGCTCTTAAAGATATGCCAGCTGGTACAGAACTCACTTATGATTACAACTTTCATTCCTTTAATGTTGAAAAACAGGTAAGAATATGCCCAGCCAGTGTAGTTCAGTGGTTGAGCATCGAACTATGAACCAGGAGGTCACCGTTTGATTCCCAGTCAGAACACATGCTGAGGTTGTGGGCTCAGTCCCTAGTGGGGGATGGGCAGGAGGCAACTGATCAAGTGATTCTCTCTCATCATTGATGTTTCTATCCCTCTCCCTTCCTCTGAAATCAATAAAATATTTTCTTTAAAACAGGTAAGAATAGTAAATCCAAGAGGGAGGTTGAACTTTGTCACAGTGTTCTGTATAACAGGCCTTCAGTAAACATTACTGAGTTGTAGCCATTGAGAAGTACAGTAGAGAAAGCAGTTTTTCACTCTAAGCTCCACTTATCTAGAATACACAGGTCTATGTTATTCTTTCAGAACTCCTTCGGAAGAGATTGCCCAATCATTTTTGGTCTCCAGTCAGTTCTTAACTATTCTGGTGAAGTTTTTTTTCCAATATTTAGTCTTTTCTTTCAAGTATTGTGGAAGTCCACTTCATTCTCAATTAGTTGTTTTCCTCTATGTGAAAATTTCTTCATTCAAACTTATTGTTGGGTATGCTCTGGCATCCTATTTGAACTTATAGTCTAAAAGCATTATTCTCTTTCCTTTCAAAGCAACTGTGTAAGTGTGGCTTTGAGAAATGTCGAGGAATCATCGGTGGCAAGAGTCAGCGTATGAATGGACTCACCAGCAGCAAAAGCAGCCACCACCCTATAGCCACACATAAAAAGTCTGGACGGTCAAAAGAAAAGAGGAAATCGAAGCACAAGCTGAAAAAAAGGGTGAATAATGATCTCATGGCCTTCCTCAGAGGCAATTACTGAAATAAGGGAGATACCAAAGGGTGGCATCTTCAGAGTGGTTTTAATATTCTTTGAGGTGATTTCTGATTGACCCTTTTGCCCTCTGCATTCTGATCCATCTCTTTCAGAGAGGCCATCTCTCTGAGGAACCCAGTGAAAACATGAACACTCCAACAAGACTGGCCCCCCAATTACAGATGAAGCCCATGTCCAATCGAGAAAGGTAAAAGTAGATTTTTTCCCTGATCTCTCAAAATTATGTGATTTGCTTGTTCGATTATTGAGCAGTTGTATATTTGAATAAGTATTCAAGGGGTCTGTGAACTTGGGGGTGGGGAGAATTGTGTCTTTATTTTCCCTACTTTCTAACTGAAATTTAGCATGACCTTTAAATATGACTTTAGGCAACAACAACAAAAAAGTGTGTGTGTGTGTGTGTGTGTGTGTGTGTGTGTGTGTGTGTGTAGTATTTGCTGTTTCCATGAGTTTTGCCATCAATATTCATTTTCATATGTTATAGGTGTTACAAATGTCTAAAAATATCACTCAGGTTTAGCTCTGCCTTAAAATTACTGTAGTAGTTAAACCTACAACTAGATCTTGTCATGTGTTAAAAATTAATGTTTAAAATATTCTGAAAACTGTATTGCAGTATATTTAGTTTTCTTTTAATTCTGTGTATTAAAATTACTTAAGTTTTTAAATTAATTTTTAAAATGCTTTTAAAACATTGTTCAGAGCAGGGTTATATGGACTTTACCAGTCTGACAGAGGAATCCATACTTAGTTAATATATTAACAGCAGTCAAAAGGATCTTTAGTGGTCCTTTTTACTCTTCCTTGTATTCAGGCATTTGTTCATGTCAGAGGTGAACAATGTGAATATTTCATATTTCTCAAGATATTCTATATTTCCCCTCACTACACACTTTAATATCTTAGAAAGTTCAGCCTTACTTAAAATTTTACTATAATTTTAGCCTCTTTTATTATATTTCACTTTGTCATAAAAATTTTAAACTTTATTGAAACAGATACCTAATCCAGTGGTTCTCTACTTGAGCTGCATGTTAGCCTAAGTGCTTTAAAAACTTTTGATGGGCCGAAACCGGTTTGGCTTAGTGGGTAGAGCGTCGGTCTGTGGTCTGAAGGGTCCCAGGTTCGATTCCAGTCAAGGGCATGTACATTGGTTGCGGGCACATCCCCAGTTGGGGGTGTGCAGGAGGCGGCTGGTCGATGTTTCTCTCTCATCGATGTTTCTGGCTCTCTATCCCTCTCCCTTCCTCTCTGTAAAAAATTAATAAAATATATTAAATAAATAAATAAAAACTTTTGATGGCCCTAGTCATTGTAATTCAGTTGGTAGGAGCATCATCTATTACACTGGAAGGTCAAGGGCACATAACCTGGATTGCAGGTTCTATCCCTGTTTGGGGGGCTCTTTCTGGAGGCAGCTAATTATTGTGTGTGTCTCTGTCCCCCTCTCTCTTTCCCTTCCTCCCTCCTTTTCTAAAATCAATTTTTTTAAAAAAACGCTTTTGATGCCCAGGTCACACCCAGGATCACTTAAACCAGAATTTTCAGAGATGAAATCCAGACATCAGTAATTTTTAAAGCTTCCCAAGTGATTTCAATGTGCAGCCAAAGTCAGGAACTATAAAATTGGCCTAATCTCCATTACACAAACCCATATTTGAGATTTATTAAAGGTAACATTGTATTATATATATACTAGGGTAAAAATCAAATAATGGAATCATCAAAATCATATGTAGGGTCAATCAAGATACATGTAACTCGTTTACATTTAGATCCATGTGGAGGTATTGCTTCTAGCATCGTTTGCCCAGTGCATATCCATCCTAAATATCTTTGCCTATATCTGCCAGTTCTCCTTCTCAGAGCTAATCCTAAGCCTGTACTTTATCTGGATAACTTTCTTTAGAATTTGTACAAATACTCCATAAAGTTCTACCTTCGAATCAGGTTGTTTCCATTGCCAAAATTTTTGTAGCCTTTAAGTCCTCAGGATTATCAATAAATAACATAGGAAATGTTATGTGAAAAAAATTTAGGATGCAAAACTGAATAATGTTTTCCCATATATAATTCTCTTTTTAAAGGCTGAATTCACTGATAATTATTCATTTATAACATATTTCTTTTTTTTTTAAAATATTTTTAAATTTTGTCTTGCTTTTTTTTGTTTGTTTTAAATTTATTGATTTTTTACAGAGAGAAAGGGAGAGGGATAGAGAGCTAGAAACATCGATGAGAGAGAAACATTGATCAGCTGCCTCCTGCACACACCCCCACTGGAGATGTGCCCACAACCAAGGTACATGCCCTTGACCAGAATCGAACCTGGGACCCTTCAATCCGCAGACCGACGCTCTATCCACTGAGCCACACCGGTTTCGGCCATTTATAACATCTTAATAGTGGCTTACATAGAACAGACATGTAATAAATGCTTATTGAATTAATGAATAAAAGAACTACTTTTTTCTTTCCTTGCAGGAACTTTGTATTAAAGCATCATGTGTTCTTGGTCCGAAACTGGGAGAAGATTCGGCAGAAACAGGAGGAAGTAAAGCACACCAGTGATAATATTCACTCAGCATCATTATATTCCCGCTGGAATGGCATCTGCCGAGATGATGGGAACATCAAGTCTGGTAAGGACTGGAAAAGTTTCTGCTAATTCCAAAAGGTTATCTCAAAGTGATTATACTTGTTACTTTCAAACAGTCTGTTCAGACATTCCTTTTAGTCTGTTCCAAAAAAGTTAAGATCCAAGCATATTAATACCAATCAACAACAGCCTGTCCCTCCCAGCTCTCCACCTTCCTGTTTCTACTGTGGGAAATAGGAAGAAGCCCCCTTCCGCCACCTCCCTGACATCACCTACAGCCTGACAGTCACTACACCTGAGATAGAGGTGGTGGGTCCTTTGTCTTCTTTCCTACCTGGAAAACTCCTGCAGAAAGGGTAAATGTGAGGACAGAAGTAGAGGAAAATGACACCAGTGTAATTTGAAGACTTTTTGCTTCCCTCCTCTCCGCCCCCATTTAGATAGTATTATATACACAAACCAAATTAGCATGTCTAAATATTCTTTCTAACTGAAAATAGTGTTCAAAAGTTCATGCTCTTATTTTATATTCCTTAGAAAGTACAGGCAGTCTGCATTGTACATGAGGGATATTGCTGAGCTAGGGACTAGATAGGAATTTGCCCAAAATTTTCTGTCCTCTCAGTGATTTGATGGGCATAAATTCTCTGAGTTTATTATTCAATTAGTTCAAATCTTCTGGTAATAATAATAATATCCTGAGTCTTTCAAAGGTCAGGCACTGAGCTAGATACATTAAAAAGGTATTTATTTCATCTGCATAATTACCTCATGAGGAAAATACTCCTGCTCTTCCCATTTTACAGTTAAGAAACTTGAGATACAGAGCATCTAAGTAACTTACCCAAGATCATAATCTAATAAGTAGGGAAGCCACAGTAATAACACAGACTCATTTTGAAGTTCGACTTTCAACTCCACTATGTAGCATTTGGCTACTAAAATAAGCTCCCTCTAACTTGCAGCATCTGTCTCTCTGGTAAACTTCATTGTTTTCTGATTTTCCTGTAAGGAGGAAAGAAAGAACTCTTATGACTTCCATTAATCACTTCAACAAAAATTGAGCAAGAGCAGAAAGTCACTGGGGAAGAGAAAGCCACTTACAGCTCCTCTTTTCCTGAAGCTAATGTTCACTTTCTTTTTCCAGACGTCTTCATGACCCAGTTCTCCGCCCTGCAGACAGCCCGATCTGTTCGAACAAGACGGCTGGCAGCTGCAGAGGAAAACATTGAAGTGGCTCGAGCAGCCCGCCTCGCCCAGATCTTCAAAGAGATCTGTGATGGTATCATCTCTTATAAAGGTGACCGTAACCCCCCCACATCCATTCTTCTTAGCTTTTTTTAAAAAGTCATACCACTTATCCTCACTTGAAACAACCAAGACCAAGAATAAGTGACAATTTAGGATTAGGAAATTAGGAGGTATGTTTTGTTCTTCCTTTTGTCAGAGTATAGAATTCCAGGACTGATTATAGTCTTTGGGAATTGTTTTTAAATTCCCTAGATCTTATAAGTCAATTTTTTTGTATTTATTAGATTTACCATAAGTACTATATTTAGAAATCACTTTTTTTTTTTTTTTAGCTGTGGCTTAGAAGCAGGTCTCTATCTTGGATAAAATTTTCCTGAATGAACAGTAAAATCTATATAATAAAAGCATAATATGCTAATTAGACCAGGTAACCAAATGACCTTCTGGATGAAGCTGTGGCGGGGGCTGAGGTAGAGGTGGTTGGGGGGTGATCAGGCAGAGTAGTTAGGAGTGATCAGGCAGGCAGGCAGGCAGGCAGGCAGGCGACCGGTTAGGAGCTAGCAGTCCTGGATTGTGAGACGGATATCCAACTTCCAGTTTAGGCCCGATCCCACAGAGATCCTATCGGGATTGGGCCTAAACCAAAAGTTGGACATCCCCCAAGGGATCCCAGATTTCGAGACGGTGCAGGCCGCTCCCCACCCCCACCCCTGTGCATGAAATTTGCGTACTTGGCCTCTAGTATTAATCTTTAAAAAAATGTAGTATGAACATAAGCATCAGTGGTTCTTAACCTTATTTTTGAGAATCTCAGAAAAGCTGTGCACTCTTTCCCTAGAAAAAATGCATGTACATAATTTTTAATATATTTTGGAAGGATTACAGGCCCTACATTAAAAAAAAAAAAAAAAAAAAAAAGCCGAGACCGGTTTGGCTCAATGGCTGGAGCGTCGGCTTGGGGACTGAAGGGTCCCGGGTTCGATTCCGGTCAAGGGCATGTACCTTGGTTGCGGGCATGTCCCCAGTGGGGGGTGTGCAAGAGACGGCTGATCGATGACTCTCTCTCGTCAATGTTTCTAACTCTCTATCTCTCTCCCTTCCTCTCTGTACAAAATCAATAAAATATATTTTTTTAAAAAAAAGCTCCTGGACTAAAAAAAAAAAAAAATCTAAAGTTGCAAAAAAAAATTACGGTACTTTAAGATTTTTCAGCCCAGCCAGCGTGTCTCAGTGGTTGAGTGTCAATCTATGAACTAGGAGGTCATGATTCATATCCTGATCATGACACATGCCCAGGTTGTGGGCTCAATCTCCAATGTGGGGCATGCAGGAGGCAGCCAATCAATGATTCTTCCTCATAATTGATATTTCTTTCTATCTCCATTCCTCTCTGAAATCAACAAAAATATATTTTTAAGTTTTCATGCAAATATTTTTACCCTACCACATTTCTCTTTGAAGACACATCTTTTGGATATGAGTTGGGGCTAAGGTTGAGAAAGAAGAGACGTTTTTGTTTTTGTTTTTTTATTAAATTATTATCTGTGTACATATTTTAACATTGCCTCACCCCATACATACCCTCCCTCCCCAGAGTTTTGTGTCCATTGGTTGTACTTATATGCATGTATACAAGTCCTTCGGTTGATCTCTTATCTCCCCCAGATCTCCCTACTCTCCCCGCTGTAATTTTACAGTCTGCTTGTTGCTTTACTGTCTTTATATCTGACTTTTGGTTTGTCAGTTTATAATGTTCTTTAATATCCATAAATGAGTGAGGCCATGTGGTATTTCTCTTTCATTGACTGGCTTATTTCTTTTTTTCTTTTTTTTCTTTTTTTTTTTTATTTACATATTTTATTGATTTTTTTTTTACCCCCTTTCCTCCCTCCCACACATCCCCTCCCTCCCCAGATTTTTCTGTCCATTGGTTGTACTTATATGCATGTATACAAGCCCTTCTTGTATTGGTTGATCTATTATCTCCCTCAGATCTTCCTCCCCTCCCCACTGTAATTTGACAGTCTGCCTGTTGCTTTACTTTCTCTATCTCTGTCTCTTGGTTCATCAGTTTATAAAGAGCTTTATCGTCCACCAATGAGTGAGGTCATGTGGAATTGGAGAACATCATGCTGAATGAAATAAGCCAATCAATGAAAGAGAAATACCACATGACTGGCTTATTTCACTCAGCATGTTATTCTTTAGTTCTATCCAGGTTGCTGCAAATGATGAGAATTCCTTCTTTTTATGGCAGCATAGTATTCCATTATGTAGATGTACCATAGTTTTTTGATCCAATCAACTGCTGACGGGTACAGAGAGGAAGGGAGAAAGACAGAGAGTTAGTTTTGCTGTTTCCAGATTCTAGCTATTGTAGATTGTGCTGCTATGAACATAGGGGTGCATATATCCTTTCTGATTGGTGTTTCTAGTTTCTTGGGATATATTCCTAGGAGTGGGATTACTGGGTCAAATGGGAGTTCCATTTTCAGTTTTTTGAGGAAACTCCACACTGTTCTCCGCAGTGGTTGCACCAGTCTGCATTCCCACCAGCAGTGCACGAGGGTTCCTTTTTCTCCACAACCTCGCCAACCCTTGTCGTTTGTTGATTTGTTGATGTAGGCCATTCTGACAGGTGTGAGATGGTACCGCATTGTTGTTTTGATTTGCATCTCTCGGATAATTAGTGACTTTGAACATGTTTTCATGTGCCTTTTGGCCTTCCTTCTGTCTTCTTTTGAAAATATTCTATTTAGGTCCATTGCCCTTTTTTTTTTTTAATTTAAATATATTTTATTGATTTTTTACAGAGAGGAAGGGAGAGAGATAGAGAGCTAGAAACGTGGATGAGAGAGAAACATCAACCAGCTGCCTCTTGCACACCCCCTACCTGGGATGTGCCCGCAACCAACGTACAGTACATGCCCCTGACCGGAATCGAACCTGGGACCCCTCAGTCCCCAAGCCGATGCTCTATCCACTGAGCCAAACCGGTCTCAGCCCTTCGACTCTTTCTAAAAATCAATCAAAAAATATTCTCAATTGAGGATAAACAAATTCTGGAGAATTTTTTTTTTCTCTTTTCTTTCTGTACTTTTCATATTTGAGTATCTTTTTACAGTTTTGTTAACCTAAGATCATAGAAAAGGAAGGAGGACTAATCTGTCCGAAAATGTAAAATTTTGTGGCACCTATACCCTTTCCATTCCCAAAAGGTCACATTCTGCATTTTCAACCAGCCCATGTGGTCTAATGTGAAACTGGAGTACATCTCCCATCCAAGTACTAACCAAGCCCGACTGCTTAGCTTCTGAGATCAGACGAGATCAGGAGTGTTCAGGGTGGTATGGCCATAGACTGAAACTGTAGTACATCTAATGTCCACTACATTCTGAGTATGAAATAGTAGGCTTTTTTCTATACCTTATATAGTATAATAAGTTGCTAGAAAGGAAATAAGGTAGCACTGAGAAGAATCCCCACCGCATGACTTCCGTTTTTATAATACAAAGTAACTATTATGAACAAAAGGATTCCAGAAAATATTTACAGTACTAAATTATTCATTATCTAGAATTTAATTGAATTTAAACCAATGGAGTAATATTAGTGAGAGCTAGAAGACATTTTTGAATGAGATGATCTTTGCTGTCATATAATTTATTGAGCTGAAATTTGCACCAAGCAGCCTACCTACATAAGGTCCCATCTCTCATTCTTATTGAAAATTTTTCTCATTACCCATCTAACATAGTGTTATATTTCAAGCATATATGCTATGTCTTTTATATTCCAAGTAATTCTGAAAGTACCTTCTGATCCCTGCCTTTACCCCCATTTCTAAAAAAATATTTGCATTTGTCATAGCACAATATTTTTTTTCTAACTGTTAATTTTGAGGATTCTACTTTTTCATTTATGAGTTAATACTTGTTTCTCTTGTATCATTTAGCCCTTCTGCTAAACCTTGTATTCTCCTGCAGATTCTTCCCAACATGCATTGGCAGCACCACTTTTGAACCTCCCCCCAAAGAAGAAGTAAGTCACATATGTGGGAATCATCTGAATTTCTTTTTTAAAGTACCAACTGTACCAGACTGACACCTGGCTTTCTGTTCCAGGAATGCTGAGTACTATGAGAAGATCTCTGATCCCCTAGATCTTTCTACCATAGAGAAGCAGATCCTCATTGGTTATTATAAAACAGTGGAGGCTTTTGATGCTGACATGCTTAAGGTCTTTCGGAATGCTGAGGTATTTCTCACTGACTTGAAACACAGATTTAAGAAGTTTGTTCTGAAGAATTATTCGGGGAATTTTAAGATTTTTACTCTCTTTTAGAATTTTCATATTTCTTGTTAAGAAAGGCAGTCATTTTTTGAGTGCCCTTAGGATAAAGATTACATTGTACTAAATATTATTGAATCTTGTATTATAAAGACATTGATATGACTAAAATAGAAGTTAAGTCATACTTGCAAAAAGCAATTTTTATAAAAACCTAATTTAAGTATTAAACCTTTATATTTATATAATATAGACATTTTACTACATTTAAATCATATCCACAGTTTCTTTCCTCAAAACAATAAGTATATGTAAAATACACAGAATATTATAGGTAAATAGTTGTAAATGTATCTTAAGAATGGAATTGAGGGGTATTCTGAATACATTTTAGAATAGATGAAGCTTTGGGGCTGGGTGTGGAGGACATCTGTAATACTGTCAACAATTAAAAGAAAAAAAGACTAGGTAAAGCTTATTAGAGAAAATGTGATTTTGAACTGATATAAAGGAGAGGATGGAATACTGTATGATACAGAGAAGAGGAAGTTATTCTGTGATTTTGAAATACCTTGGAGAGGTATTTGAAGGATAAAAGGCTACTAGAAGATGTACTGTTATTTGTAATACTTTAAACAATAAAATAAAATTTTTTAAATAAATAAAACATTTACACTTAATGAAATTTTTAGAAAAAGGCTACTAGATGAAGGAAGAATTGAGGTTGAAGACAAGAAATGAGAGAAAAACAGACATGTGGGAGAAGAATTAGGGCAATCCTGAATTATAACATGTTTTTTTTACTGAAACCCAGCTTTCATATGTATATTTAAAGCCTGTAGCTGTGTCCCTAATATCTGCAAGACAACAAGACAAAGCTAAATGGAGAGCTTTTCCACAACATTATTCTTGTGACATTAATTCACGTTTCATGGTCACTATATAGTTGATCACGTGGACAGTCAGACCTGTGAAAGGAGTTGAATGACAGCAATAGAAAAAATGGAAAAATTACCATGCAGATTCTAATGTTAATTCATTTTAGCTCAGTTTAAGTAGTTTTCAAATGCCTTGCACTATATTCGATAGTATTGAAAGTCTTAACCAAAATGGGAGGATAAAGAAAAATCCTGCTACCTCTTCAAGTATAGTTTTAAGCCACACTGAGAAGATGAAACATGATTTCTTTCTTCTGCTTTCTTCAGAAGTACTATGGGCGTAAATCCCCAATTGGAAGAGATGTTTGCCGCCTACGAAAGGCCTATTATAACGCTCGGCATGAGGCATCAGCCCAAATTGATGAGATTGTGGGAGAAACAGCAAGTGAGGCAGACAGCAGTGAGACCTCAGTCTCTGAAAAGGAGAATGGGCATGAGAAGGATGACGATGTTATCCGCTGTATCTGTGGCCTCTACAAGGACGAAGGCCTCATGATCCAGTGTGACAAGTGCATGGTGAGGGTCAGGAGGTGAAGCAGAAACCTAGTCCCGATGAACAGAGTGACCGTACTCAAAGCAGCAGCTCATGCCTCTTTTGGCTTGGCTTGACAGCTTTTTATGAACTTTAACTTTGTCTTGGTTTCTGTTATCCCCCACTGTTCACCATATTGTCTTTTTCCTTTTTTATGTCTGTCTCTTTCATTTTATCTTTCCCTTCTTTTCCTACCTCCCATTTTTTCTGCCCATTTCCCACTGTACATGTCTTACATAATATGGATCAAGAAGAATTATGGTATTTAGGATAGTGTTTTACCTTGCAAAACAGTAAAGGTACTACACTGTATAACATTAACACAGATGGAATGTAATTTATAGAGCTCCTGATGAAAAGTGAAGGCCTGGATTTGAACCTTGGTATCTATTTACTGAACTTACATGGAAAATGGAGCTATGAGTAACACATAGGATTGTTGGGAGAATTAGATAAAGATAAGTAAAATTATTTTGTAACTGTAAAGCCTTTCCAATAATAGTATCATTGATATATATTATTTAGTAAGTAATAGTTTGGTACTGTGTTCATTCTCCCATTCTCTATCCATCTTCCCATTTTGTTTGCCCAGATCTATCTATTGTAAACTAAACTGTATACTTGTGTTCAGACAAGTCCTTACTCTTTTTCCCCTATTTTATCATTTATCTCTAATGTTTTACATACCCACTTACCCCTTAGTTCGTTCCTGTTTTACTTTACCCTCTCCTATTGGTTAAATATTTTTATTCTTAGCACTCAAGACTTCTCTCAGTAAGTCTAAGACATCCCTGTTTCCCCCACGCATTTTTTTCCCTACAGGTGTGGCAGCACTGCGATTGCATGGGATTGAACTCAGATGTGGAGCACTACCTTTGTGAGCAGTGTGACCCAAGGCCTGTGGACAGAGTAAGCTGCCCTCTGATAATACTCTGATCCAAAAGTAGGAGATATGGGATATGATATTTTATCAGCCCTGCTCCTGACATATTGAATTTTCTTTGATAAATCACTCAACCTCTCTGGGCCTCAGTTTCTTATACTTTACATTGAGAGTAATAATTCCGCCCTTCCTTTCTTAGGAGTGGGATCAAAGGGAAAATAAAATACCTAGAAATATATGGAAGGAATGATACTCTGAAACTATGGTGGGTTTTGTGTGTGTGCATTCCTTTCTTTTTATTGATTTTTAGAGAGAGAGAAAAAACATCAATGAGAAAGAAACATCGATAGGCTGCCTTTTGCACGCCCCCTAAGGGGTTTGAGCCCACAACTGGGGCATGTGCCCTGATCCAGAATCGAACCTGGGATCTCTTAGTGCCTGGGTTGATGCTCAACCACTGAGTCACACCGGCCAGGCAAAACTATGGTTTTTATCAACACTCAGCTATTTAAAAGAAGTAGTTTGTAAAGCCCAGAACTTAAGTACTCTAAATACCACTTATATTAAGCAGTGTTTAAATGAAAAAAGCATTGGACTCAGAGTCAGCAAAGGTTAGCCTTAGCCACACACTAGATTAGATAATTTGCCCAAGTTATTATGTGGGCTTTTTTTTTTTTTTTTAATATATATATTTTATTGATTTTACACAGAGAGGAATTGAGAGGGACAGAGAGTTAGAAACATCGATGAGAGAGAATCATCGATCACCTGCCTCTTGCACACCCCCTACTGGGGATGTGCCCGCAACCAAGGTACATGCCCTTGACGGGAATCGAACCCGGGACCTTTCAGTCCGCAGGCCGACGCTCTATCCACTGAGCCAAACCGGTCCCAGCTATGTGGGCTTTTGATCTTAGCTCTGCCATATTTATGTCTGTCATTTTTTATTTTTTTTTTAACAGTGGTGCTGGTGTTATTTTGAGTCGACAGTTCTTTGTTGTGAGGGATGCATTGCAAAATGTTTGGCTTCCATGGCCCTTGGGCACTAAATACTATAGCAAACTCCCCCAGTTGTTTTGACCAAGTTTCCCTTCACACATTTTCAAATGCTCTCTAGGTGGCACAGAACAACCACACAATTAGTGCATCAGAACATATGGTTTGGGGTACTTAGCCTGTCCGTTTTATCTTCTACCTTCATTTTCCCAGTTGCTTTCATCTTTTATTATATATCTGTGATGTACTGAAATGACTAAACAGTAAGTTTTACTTGGTTGGGAATTCTTGGTGTTAGTATCTTCCTCTTGAATAAAGATGAGCAGGCTGGATGTAGTAGTCCAGCCCTTATCCATTGGCTTTTGCTCTTATCAGGAGGTACCCATGATCCCTCGGCCCCACTATGCCCAACCTGGATGTGTCTACTTCATCTGTTTGCTCCGAGATGACTTGCTTCTTCGTCAAGGTGCGTACACAGGAGCTGGCCCTACTTGTCAAAACAGACCTTTCTGATTACTAGGAGGTGTCTGCTGCTGCATAGTAGTCATTGTCTCCATATGACCATTAGTAGCAATAGAATAAAGGTTTTTATATCTTTCAGTCCTTAGGCTTACATGCACTTTCCCTCCACCAAATAAAACTAACGTGGCGAGAACAGGGTCTTATAAAGCTAATTATAAGCCTAGGAAGGACATGTAGGATTCTAAAAGATGGAAGACCTCCCTCAGGTCACTCTTATAGTCTAGAGTTGATTATCACCATTACATTGCTGGTTGAATTTATTTTAGATTTTAACTTCTTTCTATGTAGACCTGGGGCCAGACCCATGGATGCTTAACAGAATTGATGCAGGAATGATTTTAACCTCCTGTGTTCTCTGCGTTTCTAGGTGACTGTGTATATCTGATGAGGGATAGTCGGCGCACGCCTGATGGCCACCCAGTCCGTCAGTCCTATCGACTGTTATCTCACATTAACAGAGATAAACTTGACATCTTCCGAATTGAGAAGCTTTGGAAGAATGAAAAGTATGTGTGGAGGACGTACGGTATCTCTTTTCTCCCAGCTTTGCCCTGCCTGCACAGAGCTGAATAAGCACTACGATCTTGCTAACCAGCTAAATCTCTCCCTTCTCTTTATCTTTTTTTAGAGAGGAACGGTTTGCCTTTGGCCACCATTACTTCCGTCCCCATGAAACCCACCATTCTCCATCCCGTCGGTTCTATCACAATGAGCTATTCCGAGTGCCGCTCTATGAGATCATTCCCTTGGAGGCTGTAGTGGGGACCTGCTGTGTGCTGGACCTTTATACATATTGTAAAGGTGAGTGATCTGGGCAACTTAAGAAATGACCTCCTGTCCCATAGTCATTGAGCTAAAATTGCCTGCTTCATTTTTATTGTCTCTGTTTCATAAAAGATTGTCCAAGGCTAGTCAGAGAGCTATACTGTATCATTTTCTTTCTTTTACCTAGTGCTTGGTACTGAATAATGTTAATTCTCTTTTTTATATTTTTTATCTGTAATACTGTATAGTTAACACTCTGTTAGTATTTGTGGGATAAAGTGTTCATTTCCAAAAGTGCTTTCCTTATTTATCTGCCTTTCTTTTCCCATGACTTCCCCATATTCTGCTCTGTTTTTCTTCTAAATCTTTCTTCAAAAATCCCTGTAGCACTTTATCTACATTTCTGGTTTCTTTCCATCCTATATTATCCCCAACTTGCTATACCCTTTTTCCTTTGTTGTTGCTAGTGTCTGAGAATTTTTCTTTCTCCTGCAGTCACCAAGTGCTTAGTAATAGTTGCAGTGTTTCCCTCTTAAAGAATCTAACTGCTCTCCCGAGTCTCTGGGCAGCTCGGAGAGAGAAGGGAAAACAGGCTATTTAACAGTGTTTGGACCCGTAGGAAGACCCAAAGGAGTGAAGGAGCAAGATGTGTACATCTGTGACTATCGGCTTGACAAGTCAGCACACCTGTTTTACAAGATCCACCGGAACCGCTATCCTGTCTGCACCAAATCCTATGCCTTTGATCACTTCCCCAAGAAGCTCACTCCCAAAAGAGATTTCTCTGTAAGTCTCCTTTCTCTCCTTATTGTACATGTCAGGACAACGTAGTTCATACATGGAATTCACAGAGTAAGAATTCTCAAATGGCATCCTGTTTCCATCCCAATTCAGGAAGCCTTTATTTCTATTTGGGATGTGTGAGCAGCATAAATGCATTTATTCTGCACTTCCTGGCATGAGCTGTGTCTCAGGAAATTTTTTATTTCCTGGTTAAACTTCAGTTGGTTTTTTTCTCTTGTTTTCTATCTCCTTTCTTTAATCTTTGCCCTTGAGCCCCATATTGTAGTTTTTTGTTTTGTTTTTCACACGCATAATTTTTTAAGAAGCAGGTAGAATCAAGATCCCTGAGAAACCTTTTGTGAAAATTATTCAGTGTTTTTTTCTTTTTGTCCCTGTATTTAAAATGTAAGGCATCATTATATAAAAATTTAAAGTACAAAGCATTCAGAAAAAAAAGTATAAGCCCTGGCAAGTAGCTCAGTTGGTTACAGGGTCATCCCAGTACCCTAAGTTTGCCAGTTCAATATCCAGTCAGGGCACATACAAGAAACAACCCATGAGCCCTAATCGGTTTGGCTCAGTGGATAGAGCGTCAACCTGTGGACTCAAAGGTTCCAGGTTCGATTCCCCGGTCAAGGGCGTGTACCTTGATTACGGGCACATCCCCAGTGAGGGGTGTGCAGGAGGCAACTGATTAATGTTTCTCTTTCATCTGTGTTTCTAACACTCTCTTCCTCTCACTTCCTCTCTGTAAAAAAATCAATAAAATATATATTTTTAAAAAAACAACCAATGATGCAGGCTCCTCCCCAGCCTGGGCCTTGGTCAGGGCTCATGCAGGCGGCAACCAATTAATGTGTTCTGTCTTTCCCTCTCTCTTCCACTCTCCATAAAAATCAATGGAAAAATATCCTGGGGTGAGGATTAACAACAAAAAAAAAGAGAGAAAAAGAAGCAGCAACTGATGAATGCATAGATAAGTGGAACAACAAATCTCTCTCCCTCTCTTTCATTTCTTATCTCTCTCCTCTCCCTACCTTTCTGTCTCTAAAATCAATCAATAAATTTAAAAAATATATACAGCTATGCACTATATAACAATGGTGGTCCCATAAGATTATAATGGAGCAAAAATTTTCTCTCACTAATGACACTGGAGCATCATATAATAGCTCAATGCATTGCTCAGGTGTTTGTGGTGATGCTGGTGTAAACAGACCTACTATGCTGTCATTCATATAAAAGCACATACAATTGTATACCGTACGTAGCACTACTTGATAATGATAAATGACTGTTACTGGTTTATGTGTTTACTACATTTTTATAGTTATTTTAAAGTGTACTATTTCTGCTTTTTTTTTTTAATTGCTGTAAACAGTATCCCATGTTACACCAGCAGCAGCCTCACACATCTCATGTTTACATTTTCTTATTGCATCATTTTCTCATGCTTGACTTAAACCTTGTGTTGTTTTATAGGTTTGGTATAGCCTCAGTGTAAAGTGCAGTGTTTATAAAACAATAGTTTAAAATAATGTTCTAGGCCTTTACATTCACTCCCCACCCAGTTACTAACTCACCCAGAACAACTGCCAGTCCTGCAGCCTCTAGTTATTGTAAGTACACTATACCGGTGTACCATTTTTTAATATTTTATAAATTGTTGTGAACATATTCCTCGGATTATTTTATGCCATTCATCATTCTATAAAGATTTTGGTCACTCATTCATCTATTTGCTATAATGAAACCCTGGATTAGCTCTTCTCATCCTGTCTTCTTATAAGTGAGCCTGTCAAAATTCATAGCTATCATCCTGGAATGCTTAGAAATAATCTAACCAGAAAGCAAATCTTTATGCCCCCGTTTTTCCCATTATTACTTTTAGATTTCTCTAAACAGTATTTATTTTATATTCTTTCTACCCACCACCAAGCCCTGCCTCTCATCTAGATTTCTCTGGTCCTACTTGCTCAGTCAACAGCTCACTGATTAGCTTTGAAACCTCTATGTTAACTACTTAAAAGCTGGGATAGGGCAAAAAGAATTGTGAGCCTTTTGGCCTACAGATTAATAGAACTTCGGACTTTAAAATATAGTCACTCAGCTTGTAAGGGTTTCAGCCCTATTTTTTTCTTTCTTTACCTCCCCACTTCTATCCTGAGTTAGCCCCTGATCATATGATCCAGCTTTGTCAGCTTCTACTATACACTCACTGCTTCCTTTTCTTCTCTGCAGCCTCATTATGTCCCAGACAACTACAAGAGGAACGGAGGGCGGTGAGTCCCATGGGGATGTGAAAAGCCTGAGGGATTTACCAACAACCCCTGACTGGGGATTCTCTGACAGAGTAGTCCAATGTTGTGCTAACAGTAAGGGCAGAGGGAGATTTGGCAAGGATTACAGATAGAGAAGAGAATTTGGAACAGAACTCCATACAGATTAAGAAAACTCTTTTTTAGATTTCTGCACACTTTGCCCATTTCTCCAAAGTTGACCAACTGTTAAAACTTTTGTCAAAGCACAGTTTTAGCTGAGCAGTTTGAGTTTGTAATTTTTATTTATGTTTGCTTTATATATAATGGGTATTCTTGGAAAAAGAGCACAAAAGTCTTATCTTCTTTTTCTGTTGAATGGTGGCATAACAACTGCTTTACCTACTTCAGTAGCTTACCATAAGGGAAAAAATATTTAATAATAGATATGAAAAGAAATTTAGAAAAAGTAAAAACTTCATTTAAATACTTACTATAGTTGGACTACAAAGTTGTATCATACTTCTCTGTAGTAATGAAGCATTCAGAATTAGCTAAGCAATTTAACCAACTCTGGTATGTTTTATGAATTTGTTGGATTTCTGAAAGAAAAGAAAAATTGAATTTTACAAATCAAAATTAAGTTTCAGAGGAAAGTAATGGTTTGTTCAAATAATAATAAAGTGAAGACCAGAGCCAAGTTCCTTGCCCATTGAGCCAAGGCTGTTAACAGCTAGGCTTCAGAGTCTCAAGCCACCCTGAGGTCTCTTCCCTTCATGCCCCATCCAACCCCAAGTGCCCTTCTCAGCCTTATGCTAAGTTCACATATCCTCTGGCAGATCATCCTGGAAGTCTGAGCGCTCAAAGGCACCCCTAAAAGACTTGGGCCAGGAGGACGATGCTCTGCCCTTGATTGAAGAGGTTCTGGCCAGTCAGGAGCAAGCAGCCAACGAGATGGCCAGCCTGGAGGAGCCAGAACAGGAAGGGGCCACTGCCGAAGTCAGTGAGGGCGGGGAAAAAACAGAAGAGAGCAGTCAAGAAGCTCACCCAGCCTGTACCCCTGAGGAGCGACGGCATAACCAGCGGGAACGACTCAACCAGATCTTGCTCAATCTCCTTGACAAAATCCCTGGAAAAAATGGTAAGAAGAATCAGGATTTAAGGTAAATAGAAAATGAGGGAGATGGAATGAAAAAGAACAACTTTTAATTAGAATAGAATGGTATAGTTCTTTAATGGGCCTGCTTTTAGTTATATATTGGGAATGAAACTGGGAGGTGAGAAGCTCTCCTTCCTAGAGACCAGCTTCTACCTAGCTGGAGGAAGGCCTAAATTGCTTAAAGGTCAGAAAAGCAATCATGGAAGTCCTCTGATCTGAGAACTCAGATCTGGAGTAAGGAGTAGGCCAGTGGTATTTGATCAGCCTCCTTGGTTCTGTTTTCAGCCATCGATGTGACATACTTGCTGGAGGAAGGATCAGGCAGGAAACTGCGGAGGCGTACTCTGTTTATCCCAGAAAACAGCTTTCGAAAGTGAACCTCAAAAGAATGAGAACCTCAAGCATCTGAGATCCAGTGGAGCTAACAGTCCTGCCTCCTGTTCTCTGAGTGTAGACAGGAGTGGGAAGGGTCCATCCAGCAAGGGGAATGGGGCCATGACATTAGGTACTTAATAAACCTTGGAGCTAGTTGAGAGGAAGAGGAAGGGGATCTGTCTAACCAGTTCAATTTAACTTGTTTTCCTCTCCATTGCTTCATCCAGAAAGTTAATAATAATGTAGGGAGGAAGGCAGAGCACATTGAGGATGACCAAAACTTTTTGGTACTTTAATGACACTTGCCCCTCGCCCAGCTTGGGTTTCTCTGTCATCCTCTGATTCCACAAGCACTGCTAAGAAGCTGCTTCCTATACCCAGGTATAACTCAGAATCCAAGGGGGTAGGGCCAGGAACCCCCCACCTACTCCATCTGCTTTCTGTAGGCTCCAAGAGCTATCCCAGAGACCTGAGACAGAAACAGTAGCTGGGGCCTCCTTCCAGATCCTCGAATAGGAAAGTTTCTCCTTTCTTGCCCAACAATGTTAAAGTAAAACATGAGCCGATAACTCAAAGCACTTGTAACTGCTGCTCCTCTCCCTACCTCTACTCCCCAAAATAGAATCATGGAATAGGGGAGGCCCCCATGGGGTCAGAGGGCACAGTACTTAAATTACCTGTTTTAACCTGCCGAACGTATTTTTTTTCTAACGAGGCCAGGCCTCCCCCAGCACATGTACAGTTTATGCACTGTGGTTTGTGTGTGTCTGCTGTGCTGTGCGAATGAAGATTCATTTCAAAATAAAATCATTTTAAAACTTATATAAAAATGAACTCTAACCCCCCCCCCAAAAAAAATCACTACATAAACTGTTGAACAGTATTCACTTATCAGAGTATTTGTTGTGAGTGTAGATTATCAATTCAAAACACTACTCTTGTTTTCTTAATTGTACAGTTTTCAATTTTTATCTCTTAAAGAGACAATGTGTTCTCCCTACCCCTAGTTCCATCTTTCCTCCACCCTCCTGATCATCAGGAGGGCTATCCAGGGTGTTTCCTTCCTTCCCATTCTCTGGGCCAGAAGTTACCAGACAATAATGTCTCTTTAAAAATAAAATTTAAAAAGCTTTGCTTTGTTGTCTTCTCAGACATACATATGCATATAAGTTTTAGATGTTCTTATAAGAGAAAAGATGTTTTTTAAATGTGCCAAGTTGTATGTGTACATATATATGTGTGTGTGTGTGTATATATATACATATGTGTGTGTGTGTGTATATATGTGTGTGTGTGTGTGTGTATATATATATATATATATATATATATGCTGCGTGATTAGCAAGCAATACAATAGTAAACCAGTCCCCATTACTTTTTTCTAATATTGGACCAATGTTGTCCTAATTGTACATTTTCCCTTATGATGACGACACTCTGACTTGTTTAGGTAGAAACATTGACCACCTTCCATTCCATTGAATCTTTTTTCCTTTTTCTTCTTTCTGTGTCAATCTTGAGGAATAAACAAAAGAGACCGGGGATGCCAAAGATCCCCTTGAGCAGAGAAAAAGCAGAATAAATATTTTATTAAAGAAAAAAAGAGAATTAAGAAAATAATTTGGAGTATTTTCTTACTGTAGAGAAGCACTGTACATTACTGAGAGACCTGGGTATAAGATACTCACGTGTGGAGCTGGAAAAATCGCATGTCCAAGCCCATTTGAGTGGTTTCTTTTTTGGTTTTCATTTCAGGGAGCCGGGGAGGGAGAGGGGGAGGTGGGAACAGGGGCACTTTGGGAGTCTCCTTTTAGTCAAAAGCAGGAAAGTTACAAGAAAGAGTTTAAAATTCAATATTTCCTTTAATAGTGTTAAACACTAAAATTTTAAAAAAGACAAAAAAAGAAAAACCTTTGTAATATGTGTGAACTGAAGCAAAAGACACTACGCTGTCATTTTATCTTTCTTTTGTTGAAAGACTAAAAACTGAAATGTTTTTTAGACAATCAAATGTTAGGTAAGTGCAAAAACTTGTTTTTTCTTACTTGTGTAGAGATTAATGCCTTTTTTTATTTTTCAGTTATTTTATAATAACGAAATAAAAAGATCCCCCTAGCTGCCAGGCGGGTTTTGGTGTTTGAAATGCGGGGCAAAGCACTACATCACTGCAAATAGATACAGTTAGTCTGCATGTCTGTAGGCTGTGTGATTGCGGAAAATATAAATGCTGCTAATATATTTCCTTTTTACAAAAGCATATCTAAATAGATGATTGTTTTGATGTTAATCTTTGTAAATTATGTATTACCAATTTTAACATTGGATGTAATTGCATAAAAAGCTTGCATCTCAAATCCTTAAAAGTCTAGTATTAAATGGAAAAAACTTTTCCTAACTACAGAGTGGTGAGCTTGCTATTTTTTCCTCTTTCCTATCCTCCATTTATCTTCCACGATCTTCTCCGTCCTGTTTCCAATGAGATCTTTTTAAAACCCTAACTGGGTTGCTCAGTTGGTTGGAGCATTGTCCTGTAAACCAAAAAGGTTGAGGGTTCAATTCCCGGTGAATCTTAGGTTGCGAGTTCAATCCCTGGTCAGGGTGTGTACAGGAGGCAGCCAATCTGTTTCTCTCTCTCTCTCTCTCGCTCTCGCTCTCCCTCTCCCTCTCCCTCTCGCTCTCGCTCTCCCTCTCCCTCTCCCTCTCCCTCTCCCTCTCCCTCTCCCTCTCCCTCTCCCTCTCCCTCTCCCTCTCCCTCTCCCTCTCCCTCTCCCTCTCGCCCTCTCCCTCTCTCCCTCTCTCCCTCTCTCCCTCTCTCCCTCTCCCTCTCCCTCTCCCTCTCTACCTCCCTCCCCATCTCTCTTAAACTTTAGCAATCATATCCCCCCCCAAAAAAAAAAATCAAAGTAGTCTTCCATATCTACTTTTTTATAACTTCAAATATTATAAAAATAAAGCTTCTTTTGCAGCGGTAACTTGAGTACTCCTAATATAACTAGGAATCCCCAGAGGCTCTCAGAATCTAGTTGGTGAAACATCACCCTAGAAAACATCTGAAATGCAAACTGAGGTCAAAATTGAGAGGGTAGCTAAACACAAATGCAAATTTAAAGCAAGGAGCAAATGAATATGAATTGGCCAGAAATGGAGTTTAAGAATAAGTCTTCAATAAAATAAAATTAAAAAAAAAAAAAGAATAAGTCTTCAAAAATGACAGAAGTAGGAGACACTTGAGGCTATTCAAAGCCTGCTCCCAAGTATTTACAAAGCTTTGATCTGTTTTTAATTCCCCTCTCCTATTAGTACCTGCCCACTCTCATCTCCATCCAAGTTCTCCAGATATCTTTCCCCTGTATTTCAATTCATAGTTTTCACCTTCCCCCTAACTTTTCTGTTGCCTGGTTATAATTATAGCTTTCTATTCTTCTACCCTTTTAGTGATTTTCCTCTAGGCAATCATTTATGATTCCCTATCCCATCCTCAGCTCCAGAGCACCTTAACTATTCTCATTTCAGAAGACAGAAACTCATTAACTCCTAACAAAGTTATGTCAAGTTATTGTGCTTTCTGAAATTGTATTACCTCAGAATGGTAATGTTAAATAGAAAAAAAAATGTGTTACTTTTTGCAACCCTTTAATCCTTCAGCACCTCAGATACAAATGTAATGAGTATAGTTTCAAGGGCTATATCTTCCCCATTCTCCCATTATTTACTCAGGCTCCTACCTGTCATCTCACAAAACAACGCAGTAAAGTCTCGGACTAGAGAGGCACTTCTGAGGTTCCGGCACAATTAATTGGCACTTTTCATTACTCAGGAAATAGTAAGAACTGAACCTGGGCTTGGAAGGAAGCATCTCCCTTGAGCTTCTTATAAGAGGGCCTCCCACAGCCTAGGTCCTCAAACCCACAATGACACACACACACACCCAACTCCCACACTTTATTGGGACAAAGGCAGAAGGAGACATATCCAACACCACAGGCCCACCCACCAGGGGTATCCAGACGTGAACACCTAGAACAACATGAGTACATAATAAATATTGGCAACATGGGATGGGGAAAGAGGGAGGAGATTCATACACATGAAGGAGACTAGAGACCCTCTAGTCTTGGGAACTGAGGCATACACTGTACTAGCAGAGTACTTACACGGGAAGGTAGAAAGGGACTAGATTTCTATTTTGCAGGTAGAAAGGGAGATGTTCCCTTATGCAAATGGAGAAGTGGGAAAGAAACTGCAGGGAGGAAAATTGCTTTGTATATATTTGGAAGAAGAGCATATTTCAACTTACAGATGGGTGTGGGAGGAAGTATTTTGCAGACAGGGAAAATGCTTCTGGGAAAATCAGTTTACAGGAGTTCGTGTTCACAGGCCATTCCATTCCCAAGTGACAGGAGGGAGAGTCATAGGCAGGGAAGGAAAAAGGTCCTAGGCCTAGAGCACAAGAGAGGTGTACCCCACAGGTACCAGCCCCTCCGTTCCATCCCGCCCACAGCGGAGCCAGTCCTCATCCACAGTGGCGATGACACGCAGCACTTCCCCACGCTGGAAGCTCAGCTGGTCGGGTCCTGCAGCGGTGTGGTCACAGAGAGCACGGACTGCCCTGTGGGGAGCCAGATGCTGGGATGAAGTGAGGTGCGGGTACCCAGCTGTCCCAGGTCTCATCTTCCCGCAGTGTGGAATGTCACTTTGGTTCAGCTCAGGGAACATTGGGATCGTGTCTAGCAACATGTGGATTCCCTGTGGGGCCCCAGCCCTCTCCTGAGCTCCAGACCCACTCTTCAGCTACTTATTTGACATGATTTGCATTTGTCTCGTACTTCAACATCTGCAAATTAAATAACTCATCTTAACCTTACACACCAGTCCCTCCTCTTGTGTCCCCTATACTTCTTCTACCCAGTTGCTCCCAGCAAAAACCAGGGTCTCTCATTCCTCATATCCAATCAATTACCAAAACCAGGTTGGAGTTTGTATCTCCCACTATTCCACCTGTCTTTCTCATCAACTCCACTGCCTTCATTCTAGTTTAGCGCTCTATCTTCTCAACCTCTACATCTAACCTAACTGGTATCCCTTCACCTCTCATGACCTCCTCCCCAGCTCCATTTTCCACACAGCAGACAGATCCTTCAAAAGCAAGCACATCATCCGCCAGCTTATGACCCTTCACTAGCTCCCCTACCTCACAATGAGGTCTGGGCCTACTGAAGCCTATAGCTTCCCGTCACTGCTGCCAACAGCCTCCACTTTGGGCACAGCCAATCATGTGCCCAGAGTTCCTCACTACACTTGGGCCTCTCCACCTTTGCATTCTATTCCTTCTGACACACCCTACACAATCACTGTGCCCTCCCTAAGTCTGCAATCTTGGGGGGAAAGCCCTGTCTATATGCCCCCTTTCCTACAATCTTCCATACAGAATTTTTAAAATACTTTTTTATTGATTTTCTTATTTTAGAGGGAAAGGAATAGAGACAGAGAGAGAGAGAGAGACAAACCTCAATGAGAGAAACACCGATTGGCTGCCTCCTGCATGGTCCCTATTGGGAATCAAATCTGCAACCCAGGCATGTGCCCTGACCAGGAATCAAACCAGTGACCTCCTGGTGCATAGAACAACACTCAACCACACTAGCCGGCTCCATACGGAATTTTAACTGCTTATTTTTTCATTGGTAACTCCATTGGATTACAAACTCCTTGAAGGCAGGGACTCCAATATGGTTATTTTTGTATTGCTTGGCACATAGTAAGTACTTGAGAAGTATTACTGAATGAATAAAAAATGAAGAAACCTAACTCAATGCATTAAGAAACCAAAGGAAGCCAGACCCTAAAGCCAAAGCAATCCCTGGCGCCAAATCAGAAGACCCCACCGAAGGGAAGCACAGTCCCTCAGGGTATGCACGTGGGCACATCCAAATACATAGTTACACGGTAACTGGGCACCTCCTCTGTGCCAGATGCTCTTATAAAATTATGTTTAGTCTCTATAAAAACCACAATAAATGTATAAATTATCCTCTCTTTAAGGAGAAAGAAACCAAGGCTCAAAGAAATGAATTCACACCAATAATAGCAGAAATGTAATGCAAACTAAGCACTGTCTGACTTTACAGCCCCACAGCCTTTTAAACTACCTCCCCTCCACTCTCGAGACAAATGTGCGCGCGTGTGCGCACACACACACACACACACACAACACACCAATGCATTCTTCCCAATCCTCCTTACCGTTGGGTCTGCACCGCGCTGGGTGCTGAGGCCTCAAGCTCCTCGGGTGGACTGGGAGTGTCAGAGGGTGCCACCCTCTTCACCAGAGTCAGTACGTTCACTGCAGGAGGCAGCCAGCTGGATGGTCTCCTGGAGGAAGGGTTACAGGGTCACCAAGTTTATCCCACCTCCAAAAAAAACAACCAAAAAACCCCCAGGGCTCTGGAGGAGGAAAAAGGCTGAGCAGCCTGTGTTTCAAAAGATCAGGAGTTGGTCACTGCTGGGGACAGAGAGACGATTTGTAGGGTGATTAGGGAGGTGAAAACAGGTCTACAACACAAAAGTCACTGAAGGACCTCTGGAACCAGTACACTCAGAAGCATAATCACTGGAGAGTGCCTGAAGCCAGAGCTCAGCAAATAATTTCTTTTTTCTAAAAGGCTAAATAATAACTGTTTTTGGCTTTGAGGGCCAAGAGGCAAATGTAGAACATATCATCATTAAAATGTAACTTATCACGAACATAACCATTTTTAGCTCATGGCTATAGAAAAACAGACTGCCAACTTCCAACCTACAACATCACTCTAGTTTCATCCTTGGGTAACTGGTGATGTGGGATAGAGTCGGAGGTCATGGAGGGGACCAGGTGCCCCAGTACCTGGACTTTAGAGTTCCACTTTCCGTTTCTGTGAGGCCGCCAGGCACTCCAAACAGTCTTCCCAGCCACACGCCTCTGCCTGGTGCCGCGTCCGTGGGCAACGATCTCTCCTGTGTGTCCTCAGCCACAGCCCCGTGACACCTGGATCCCCACCGGCGAAGGGAGAAGCCCTCGGTGCCCCCAGAGGCATAGACCCGGGAGGCCTGGGTCAGCTGCTCCCACCAGCTGCCTGGTTTGGGAGGGCTTGAGGGGGCTGAAGTGCCTGGAGGGGTCTCCTCAGAAGCCCCACGAAGGGTCTGGGCCAGCCGACCCCCCCAGTCCAGCATGGCTTGCACAGTCTGCTGCAAGGCTGGCGGTGAGGCTGCGGGGGCGGGAGCCTGAGGTGGGCCCAGGGGCAGGTGGTGGTGATGCTCAAAGAACAGGTCCAAGTGGAAGGTGAGCACCGACAATGGCTGCAGCAGGAGCAGCAGCTCTGTGGACAGGGCGGGGCAGCCACCCCGGGCCAAACAGAAGAATCCAGTGGGCAGGTACAGGAGGGACAGCAGGCCTGGAAAAAAAGCCGGCTAACATCAGTCCCTGCCCTCAGCCCAGTCCCAGAGGGCTCCCTGCATCAGCCCACCCATCAACAAACATCCCCCTGGCCTCATTCTATGCTGGGCACAGAGAACATGGTGGGGAACAGGGCTGACACATCCCTGCCCATGTAAAACCACTGCCTAAAGAGGGGAGGAGCACGTACAGAACAAGTGGTGATAAGAAACTGAGTAACAGAAAGGAGATCTGGCTGTGGAAGCAAAATAGGGGGTGAGGGTTTGCCTAGTCTGAGGGCAAAGTGAAGCCTCACCATATAGAATCTAAAGAATGAACGAAAGTTAATGAGGAGGGGCAGGAAGTCCTATTCTAGAAAAGAATCAGAAAGGAAGGCTGTCAAAGAGCCAGGGAAAACCCCAGACTTAGAGGCCAGAGAAGAAGGCAGAGATCAATAATCAAGAGTAGAGGTGAGCCGGGACCGGTTTGGCTCAGTGGATAGAGCATCGGCCCGCAGACTGAAAGATCCCGGGTTCAATTCCGGTCAAGGGCATCTACCTTGGTTGTGGGCACATCCCCAGTAGGGGGTGTGCAAGAGGCAGCTGATCGATGACTATCTCTCATCGATGTTTCTAACTCTCTGTCCCTTTCAATTCCTCTGTGTAAAATCAATAAAATTATTTTTAAAGAAAAGACTGGAGGTGATAGTGAAAATTTGGGTCTTCCCCCCTGTGGGCCAAGGGACTCCTTGAAAAAATTTAAGCACAAGAGTAATAAGAACGCAGGGCAGAGTAAGATCATTCTGGCATTAGTGGGAACCAGGAGAACAGACCCCTTTTCCTCCTTCCCTGACAGCCTAGCCACCCCATCCTCTCCCAGGTGAACCTCTGACCTGCATCTTCCTGAAGACTGGAAAACCAGAGTTCCAGCTGCTTGGTGCTGGGGGAGGAAAGGGAACAGAAGCTCAGGAATGGAGGACGCCAGCGCCCTCTAGGGAGGGGGTGGGAGATGAGATTGGAACAGGAGACGTTTGCTCTAGGAACGTGTTGCATCCCACCCGAGATACCCCTGCAGTCCCCGGGCCACGGGAGGGGCACCGGAAGGAATGCCACTCACTTGAGGAGGCCCAGGATGAAGGCGTGGAAGCGGCTCCTGCTGCTGCTCAGCGGGGCCAGCCGGCTGACCTGGCTGTACAGGGTTCCGAAGGACCGGGTGCTGGAGCCTGAGGACAACCCGCGCTGTGAGCCAGGCCCCGGCCCTCGCCCTCCCTCCATCCCGTCCCGGCCCCGGGCCGAGTCCCTCACTCCACCTGGCTTCACCGATGCCTCCACCACGCTCCAGGGGTTGCTCCTGCGCTGCCCGGTGATGAGGTCCTTTCGGAAAGGCTTCAGCCCGTCAGCCACCAGGGCATAGAGAGCCGGGCAGAGGGTGGTCAGCACCAGGTGCCCCACATCTGGGCTCAGCCGGCTATCCCCCAACTGGGCCTGGAGGCAGCGCAGTGGTCATGGGTCCAGAGATACCAACAACAGCGCGCTTCCGGTCCGAAGTTCTGCGCCCCCAGAGCTACAGTCATCGCCTCAACCCCAACGCCCTCCCACAGACAACTTCACCTTCTGAACCAAGTTTCGGGCCGCCCCAAAGTGCGAGATGATTTTATCCACGGAGGCGCTGACGGCTATCAAGAGACCTGGGGAGGGAGAGGGGGGAAGGGTAGGGGAGAGAAGCATCAAAGCCCCCGTCTCCCAGGACTACCCAGGGGCCTAGGAGAAACCGGTTTACGCAGTCTGACCCTGGGAGGGGAGGGCCGCCATGCGGGGCAGCTGATTCCGAAGCCAGGGTTGGGGTTGCCCTACCTTTCTTCTGCTCCTGCAGCTGGCCGGCCCCACGCTGGGCTTCTGCCATCCACAGTCGCTGCGCCCCGGGGACACCGGCGAAGGACCAGGAACTGCGGACTGCGGGGAGGGAGAAGAACGCGTGACCCTTAGCAAGGGCTGTCCCAGGACTCCAAGCCGCGGCACAGGCCACCTCCTGCGGGCCCACAACACCAGCCCCTGACGTCTTGGGCGAGTGGACACGATGCCGGGCACAGCACGGGGCGACGCGACCCGGGACCCCGGAGTGAGATCCTGCTCGGATCTCAGCACTCGCTGCCCCTGTCACCCCAACCTCCCCGTTTCCATGACCTTCTTCAGGGCCCAGGGCCCACCTCCGCGATCCCGGAAGTCCAGGCGCGGGGACAGCCGCGCTCACCTCCCGCCCGCCCGCTGGGGCCCAGAGGGCAGGAGATGACAGGGCGAGGGAAGGGCGGGCACCGGGGCCCACCCCGGCCTGCGTCCTGCCCCCGGGAACGGAAGAGCACGTGGGGAGCCCGGACCAATGAAAAGACGGACCAACGAGAATGGAAAAGAGAGGGCGGGAGCGGAGATCCCAGGGCTGGGAGACTAGAAGACATCCGAAAGAGAAGGCCCGGGTCGTACTCCGGCCTGGCCGCGGAGGCGCCCCGCAGCCCGCGGGAGGCGGGTCTGGCAGGAAGGTGTGACCAGGGCCTCTTCAGCCACGGGAGTTGGGGGAAGCTTCGCCCTGCATGTTCCCCTAGGAGGTGGCGGTCAGGCCCGACTCGCCTGGCCAGGGAATGCCACAGAGGGTGCCCCCACCGGAATCCCACAGCGGCACCCCCAGTCCCTATCCATCGAAGGGCTTGCTGAAGGCCCTTAAACTGAGTTTGAGGCGGAACAGGCCCGCGTCCACGGCGACGCCGCACAGGAGCGTGGCCCGACGCCCTGAACCAATGAGCTTGCTAGGAACCGGCCGGAGGGCGGGGCGGAGCCGGTAACCCGGATGAATCCACCGCTGCGGAGGCGCCGCGCTGAGGAGGGGCGGGCGGGGCGGGGCGGGGCGGGGCGGGCGGCTCGCCGGGGCGTGGCCTCCGGGCCGGCCCGGGGCCGTCTTACGTAGCCTGAGAGGAGTCGGTGGGCTCCGGGTCCAGCGAGGGGCCTTCGGCGGACGAGGTGGCGGTGGCAGCGGGGGGGCGGGCACCTGGCGGGGCGGGGGAGCCGCGGCAGGGAAGGTGCTGCTTCTTGGGAAGAGCGGGGACAGCAGCAGCGCCAGCTCGGGGCTGGCCAGGCAGGACAGGGCTCCCCGCGCCGGGGGCGAATAGGCTCCCACCGGGGACAGGCGGACGGGCAGCAGCTGCTCCTCTGAGGGGCTGGGCGCCCCCAGCAGCCGCAGCCCCGCGCGGGGCCAACCCGCCAGAGGCGCCAGGAGCAGAGACCCAGCTGTGCCCGCGCCCCCACCCTCCAACAGGGGGCGCCCGTCGGCCGAGAACCGGAAAACCAGGGGCCGAGGGACCAGGAGGGGACGGGCTGCAGGCGGGGTTGGCGGGGCAGGTGCGAAGGGGAAGGAGGGCAGCGGATGGGCAGCCAGGCAAGGAAGGGCAGGAGAAAGAGGGAGCACAGAGTTAGTCCCGTCACCCAGCGACCCGCCCAGCTTCCCTTTCCCGGAGCGCTCCCTGGCAGACGGGGACCGGGAGGATGGGGGACAGAGCCGGGGTGGGGGAAACGGGGAGACGGGCTGTCAGCTTGGGAGGTTTGGGCAAGGCCGAAGCCCCGCCCTCCTCCCGCCGCCTCCCGCCGCCTCTTACCCTCCAGGCCCGCCTGCGCACCGGGCTCCTGCGGCTCCTTCGGGGCTGGGGCCTCCTCGCCGGGCCTGACCTCCCTGCCCTCCCCGGGCTGCCCCTCCGCTATAGGCTGCAGCCCCGGGCGGTTCTTCTTCCTCCGGGGAGGCACGGGCGGCGGTGGGGGCCGGGGCGGGACCAAGGCCCAGCCGGCTGGGGGGTCTCGGGGCGGGAGGGGCGGGGGCGGGGCCCGGCTTCGGGACCGCAGTTCCTTGAAGGTGGTGACTTCGCGGGGAGCCGCCGGGGAGCCGCCCAGCGACCCGGTGGGGGGCTGCTCGCTGTCGGGCGAGAAGACGATAAGCCAGTCGCTGCGGTCTTTCTTGGCCTGCGTCACCAGGGTCAGCCCCGGGCCCCGCTTGCGCTTCTGGGCCAGCTCGTGGAAGGACGTGATGGTCCGGTGGGGCACGGGCTCCTCGCTGACGTCACTCCTCCATCCTCCATCCCTTTTCTCCGCGTCTGCTTTCAAGCCAGAATCAATTGTTCCTGCACTGGTTTTCCAACCGGAGTCAAATTTTCCAGGCTCAGCTTTCCAACTAGAGTTAGTATTCCCATTGATTTTCCAACCAGAGTTATTGTTCTCTGTGATTTTCCAGCCAGCTTCAGTTTTCTCTGTGTCAATTTTCCAAATGGGGTTGATTTTCCAACTGGGTTCCGTTTTCCCAGCATAGGTCTTCCCATCATCGGCCTCCGAGAGCTCGGAGGTCAGGAGGTCCTGCTCCCCACCCTCCTCCTCCTCCTCCTCCTCCTCCTCCAGGCCTGGGGAAGGGAGGTCCTGGCAGGTGGTCAGGGCATTGCAGTTGGAGTCCAGGCCAGAGCCGGGTGGGGAAGAGGCTCCAGAGCAGGAATCAGGAGAACAGCAGAAGCTGTCAGGAGAGCAGGCACCAGGGCCGGTAGAGACCAGAGGGGAGCCCTGCTCCCGGGGGAGGATGCTCGGCTGAGGGGGGACATTTTGGTCACCAGGGAGGTTCCGTGAGTAGACCGAAATGGGGGACTCATCGGGGCTAAGATCTGAGCAGGAGCTGAGAGAGGAGGAGCATCCCGGATCCGAGGGAGAGGCGGCCCCCTCTTCCTCCTGTGCCGGGTCCTGCCCGGTTTCTAGGCCCGACCCGTGCTCCTGGCAGCAACGGCAGGGCACCGCTGGGCTGTTGGAATTGGCATCCACCAGGGTCCCGCCGCAGGAGCCCTGGCTCTCCTTGCCCCCTGCGTCCCCCGGGGGAAAGGACGTGCTCAAGGGCCCCTCCCTTAGCTCCGGACGGCGGGACAAATGCAGGCCCAGGGAGACATGCTGGAGGTGGATGTGGTTGAGGTTGCAGAGCAAAGCCCTCTGAGGGGACAGCATGGTGCCAGCGGCGACGGGGTGGCCTCCAGAGAACCAGGAAGACGGGCCTCTCACATCCGCCTACCTGGCAACCGCAGATTCTGACCTAGAAGACAGGGATGGTGAAACCCAGCCAGTGAGGGTGCGGGCCGCTAGGACATCAAGGTGCCCGACAGCGGGAGCAGGTCTGGGAGGGCGCCGGCTGCTTTAGACAATATTCAAATGAGATGCAGATGACCGCCCGCTAGCCTTTAGTTTCCTCTGCAGTGTGTGCAGGTGGAATCCAATGAAACCCCCCGGGAGTGGGGCGGCGGGGTGGGGGGTAGGCGAGTGGCATCAGAGAATGCGGCTGCGCTTTGGATCCCCATGGAGGGGCGGGGCGGGGGAGGGGGCCTTGAAAAAGGATGCGGTCCAGAATGGACCCTCGGTCCTCTTGGCTGCAGGCACTCCCAGTGTAAGGGGCCAAGGGCGGCCCTGCCCAAACGCTCTGAAGTGGGGGAGGAGGGGAGCGCGTCTGGCTGGTTAATGCAGGAAAGTGGCGGGCATGGGGATGGGGATGGGGATGGGGATGGAGCAGTCGTCTGCATGTCAAACCGGCCCGCACAGACCGCACAGGCTTTGGTGTACAGCCCCCATAGATACCGGGCTAGAAACCCGGTGTTTCTGTCTGTTCTTTCCGTACTTGACTGTCATCCAGCCACCACCCCACCCCCATTCATTTTCACTGCTCCCTCTCCTGCCCAATCCCTCATGCAGATCCATTCATGCACACCCCGAAACAGAGCCCTCCTCACCACGGTTCTGCTACTGCTGCGGGCGTTGAGCTCCTCTGCGGCTCGCACGGTCCCCGCACTGACTGGAGGGAAGGGGTGCGGCTGGAGGACAACCCGCCCACGCTGCGCAGCCGCGCCCCTCCGCGCATGGGCGTGGCGTGGCTCAGACCCAGCCCCCTGCGCTTGACGTCTTGCCCGTGTCACCCACCTAGGCCTGTCGGGTTTGTGTGGCTTTTTAAATACATTTTATTGATTTTTTACTGAGAGGAAGGGAGAGGTAAGGAGAAACATCGATGAGAAACATCGATCAGCTGCCTCCTGCACGTCCCCTACTGGGGATGTGCCCGCAACCAAGGTACATGCCCTTGACCGGAATTGAACCTGAGATCCTTCAATCTGCAGACCAACACTATCCACTGAGCCAAACTGGCAGCCTGTCTCTTTGATATGACCTAGAAGTCATGACCCACAGTCCTGGTTTCTGTGGAACCACCTATGTGTTCCGGATAGAGCTGCGCCCTGACTGGTCCGCCCAAGAACAGAACCCCAAGGTTAGATGGTACAGCAGGTTCTGGTGTAATAGTTTCATTCTTCCTTGTGTTTTATAGGGTTGAGAACATTGATTCCAGGCAGGTCCAGTGTGGAACTTGCACGTTCTTCCCGTTGGGTTTTCTCCTGGTTTTCCTCCCAGCCCAGACATGCAGGTGAGCTAAACTGGTGTCTAACTGCTGAGTGGTTGTGGGATGCCTGGGCCCTGCAATGGGAGGGCCTCCTGTCCAGCATTGGCTTCCACTTTGAGCTGCCCAGATAGCTCCTATCACGTACAACCCTGACCTGGTTTTGTTCATTCCTTAAATGTGTGTATAGCTCATTTCAGTGTTTAATATTAGAAATATTTGGTTATTTATTTATTTTTTTTAGAGAGGGATAAAGGGAAACATCAGTGTGAGGCACATCGATTGTTTGCTTCCCATACATGCCCCAACTGGGGTCCAACCAGCAGCCGGGAATCTAACCTCAACCTCCCAGTGCACAGGACGATGCTCCAAACCAACCAACCAAGCCACACCCACCCACCCAGGCTGGTGATATTTTTGTGACCAGAAATAACACAAAACATAACTCTTGTCTATATCAGTTAACATATGGCAAAATTTTGTCACGGTATCCAAGAATCCATGTATGACATGAAGTGAGGATATACTGTAATTTATTAAGAGCCTCCCCTCCCCGCCCTGGCAGTCTCTAGGTCACTTTTTCCGCTTGTAGATTTTCTGTGCTAGCCTCAGGAAGATGGCGGGGGGCAGGGGCGAAGAGCACTGCTCGATGAGACTCAGCAGGTGGCTGTAACGGTCTTCCTCATATTGCGTAAACACAGCCTGCAGGTTCAGCTCCTCGTAGAGTGCCTTCACCCGGGCCACCTTCTCAGCCTCTTTCTGCCCGTAATTCTCCTAGAAGGGGGTGGAGGCAGGAAAATAGGCTCACTCTTCCCCTAGTGCTTCCACTTCCCCTCAATGCACCCTCCACACCCCTCATCCATATATTCAGATCCTCTCCAATGCCATTAACTTGATTCCTGCCTCCAACTTAAGTGTCTGAGTGTCTGAGATTGTCTGATATGTTCAATTTTCCCCTCCCCACTCCAAATGCTCAGATATTAGCTCAGCACTCAGCTTCCTCTACCATAGGGTTTCTCAGCTTTAGCACTGTTGAAATTTGGGGCCACATAATTCTTTGTTATGGAAACTGTTGTGTGCATTGTAAGATGTATGGAAGTATTCCTGGCCTCTACTCATTAGAGAGAGACCTTAGCATGTGCGCACACACCAAGTCATGACAACAAAAACTGTCTGCTGCTATTGCCAAATGTTCCCTGGGGTACAAAACTGCCCCCACTTAAGAACCACTGCTTTATCCCCCTATCAGCTCAGGGATCCACAGCCCTCTCCTAGGCACCTGCAGGATCTGGCGCTGTTCTGGAGAGGCCCGTTGTAGACACTGTACCACCAGCCAGCTGCACTTGTTGTCCTGGATATCAGTGCCAATCTTGCCCGTCACACTGGGGTCCCCGAAGAGATCAAGGTAATCATCCTGGGCAGGGGAGCAGAGAAGGAGAATGAAGATGCTCCCAAGTGGGAAAGGAGGGAAGCTGGAGCCTGTTCTCTGCCAGTGCCTCCCGCCTTCCTACCTGGATCTGAAAAAGCTCTCCAATCTCCATCAGGATCTTCTTGGCATTAGCGTGTTCCTTCTCCCCGTCAATGCCTGCCTACAGTGAAAAGGGGATTGACAGGCGAGGCATCAGAGGCACCTTCATCTTCCTGACTGCTTCCTCCCACAGGTTCTTGCCCAAGGTTAGCCCTTAAATCTTCTCTGTCTCCTCTCAGACATCCCTGGCTTCCCTGGCCTAAGAAGTCCCGGCTGGTGGTCCAACCTCTATCCCACTTAATTTTAAATTTATTTTTTTATTTTATTGATTTTGTACAGAGAGGAAGGAAGAGAGAGATAGAGAGCTAGAAACATCGATGCGAGAGAGTCATCGATCAGCCGCCTCCCGCACACCCCCCACTGGGGATATGCCCACAACCAAGGCACATGCCCCTGACCGGAATCGAACCCGGGACCTCTCAGTCCCCAAGCCGACGCTCTATCCATTGAGCCAAACCGGTCCCGGCAGTCCCACTTAATTTTAGCTAAGCCTTCCTGCAGGCAGAAATTAGTCCATTCTGGAGGCCCTCAGACCATCTCTTTTTTCATGAAGTTCAGACCAGGAGTCACTGATTCTTCTTCATAATATATATATATATATTTTTAATAGAGGAAGGAAGAGGGAGAGGGAGAGGGAAAGAGAGAGAGAGAGAAACATCAATGATAAGAGAGAATCATTGATTGGCTGCCTCCTGCACATCCTCTACTGGGATCCAGCCCGCAACCCGGCCATGTGCTCTTGACCAGAATCAAACCCAGGACTCTGTACTACGCAGGCCAACACCTTACCCACTGAGCCAAACCAGCTAGGGCTCTTCTTCATAATCTTTTAGCCATTTCCAACTTTATTCAGGATGAAAAGGAAACTTAGAGGAGCAAGTTCGGGGTAGCCAGTAAATTCCACTCACTGCCTGTAAATCCATTCTTTTCAGCCTGATCATCTCCTTCCCACTCCTATCCATGCTCAGACGGGAGGATTTCTCATTCCTCTATGACAGACTGACCACCTTCACTTGCCACACCAATTTCTACAGCAATCCTGTGATGTGGGGATTTTATCCTTATCTTACAGCTGAAGAAACAGCATCAGAGAGAATATGTAACTTGCTCAAAGTCACACAACCAATAAGTGGGGACAGCAGATTGTATAAAAGCTAACATTAGTGGGTAGTGGGGGTATGCGGAGGCTCACTCACCATATACATAGCAGCAGCTACAGGAAGGTAGAAGGAGTAGAAAGCTGTCTTATACTTGACAATAGATTTGTACCTAAGTAGGGAGAGAAGATAATTCCTCAAAAAGGCAATGCCAAGAAATAAAAATAAAAAAAGAATGCCCACCCAGAGCCCTCCCTCACTGGTCAGGTCTGGTTCCCACTGTCGCTCACCTCTTTTCAGTAAATCTGCCAAGATCCGTGCTGCCCTGCGGGGCTGTGATGAGGTCCAGGGTCTGTCCAATCTCAGTCTGATAGGAAGTCTAAGGCAGAAGATGGCCCATGAGCTGGGCTTTCTCCTCAGGACTGGGAAACTCAGAAATCCTGGGCCCCACATCCCATACCAGCTAACACCGAGGCAGAGTCAGAAAGGCAGCAAGAGGGAGGAAGGTACCAAATCCCAAGACCCATATTCTCTCACACACACACACATACACACACTATCCTTTATCCCTCCTTCCCACCATACAGGGACAGCGAACCCTCCTTGCCATTAATACCATCCTTCCCAACTCCCTCGCTTTCTTCCTCTTCCATGAAAACCTAGTCTTTCCTATGCCCTGAACCCAGCTAGATGGCAGTGTCCTGAGGAGGCCACGCTCCTGCAGCAGCCTCTGGGCACTGGGCCTGGTCTGCAGTGGAGGGGCGCGGCTGCGCAGCGTGGGCGGGATAGAGGTTGGACCACCAGCCGGGACTTCTTAAATCTTCTCTGTCTCCTCTCAGACATCCCTGGCTTCCCTGGCCTAAGAAGTCCCGCCTGGTCTGCAGCCCACCTGCAGGAAGAGCTCCATCAGGTTCAGGTAGTAGGGCTGCTCGCGGCAGTAGAGCTT